TTATTAAGAAACTTAAAAACCCCAGTAACACCAAAGAGTTACAAAGAGTTTTGGGAAGTGTGAATGTGTATCATAGATTCATTCCGAATTATGCAACTATTAGAGCTCCATTAAACAGACTCTTGAAAAAAGATGTCAAGTGGGAATGGGATGACTAATGTCAAAAAGCTTTTGACGAAATGAAAAGAATACTGATTTCCAAACCTGTTTTACAATTGTATGATTCCAGTAGGCCATGTCATATTTTTGTTGACGCTTCTCAAACTGCTGTTGGAGCTGTTTTGAAACAACCAGAAGAAAATGATGTCCTTCTTTCTGTATCATATCATTCCCAAACTTTAAGAAAACTGACCGTGCGCCCCTTGTTTGGCTAAAAAATGTTAAAAATTTAAAAGGTAGACTCTTCCATTGGTAACTCAAACTAAGTATGTTCAATTATGAAGTAAAGTATCAGAAGGGCTCTACCAATATTGAAGCTGACATGCTTTCTAGACATCCTGTTTCACAGCACCTCCAACATTATGTACATTTACTTGATAGAAATGAAATAATCCAACAACAAAAAAACTGATAATGTCTGCGGAAAAAAATTACCAAGAGATAAATGATATGATGGTAATTAAGAAAAAGATTTTTTTATAAAATTGTAGTACCTAAATCTTTATGATTAAAATTGAGAAAAACCCATGAAAATTTTTGTCACCCAGTAGTTCAAATTATGCTTAATCACACCTCAATATAATTGGCCTCATATTGTATAATAATTTTTAATGATATTTTTAATTCAGTTAATTCAATTAAATTCTAATCATAATCCTTAACAATGTGTTAGCGATTCTCTATCTAAATTGAATCCCTGTTCCTAATTTTTTGGCGAAGTCCTTTCTTTCTTATAAATTATATTAACCTCTTGGCACCTGCCAGATTGCCAAACTCATAAATCTGTCATATTACATATAGTCCTTAAGAACACTCCTGATGAGAAGATAGTGTTACCTCAGGATCTCAATACCGCTGATTGGAGGAGCACCATGACACACACATATTTATCTATAAATAGGGTTTCTCCTCGATGGACAGGAGGAATGCTTGAGAGATGCATGCTAAAATAAATGTATCACTTTATATTCCAAAATTTGTCTCATTTCTGTTGCCCCGGCTGCACAACACTAATAATGTATGAAAATTTACATTTCATACGTATATATGGTTTTCTTATGAAAAACATCATTTGGGGAATAGCAAACTTCAATAAAAATTTTAAGCCATTTTGATTAGACCTTCAGGAAATTCTGCAGTATAATATTTGCTTTTTAGAGGCCATTAATCACAATGGTTAAATCACAAAACATGCTATATTTAAAATATTGAACATTTCACAGCATTTGGATACTAAGTTAGTCACAGACAAATGTCTATTCAACTTGAATTAGTGTCTATGAGTTTAGGCAAATTAAAAATTGCAGTACTATGAATTTGCAAACATACGTGTGGCAATAAAATGAAACAAGAACTGAAGGACTATTTGCAAAAAGAATGAATTATCTCTGATATAAAAAATTAACTTTATAATAAAGTTAATAAGTAACTTTTTAGTTATTTATTAGTCAGAACCAGAACTATTATGACAATCTGAAATAAAAACTTTTAGAAAATTGTTTTGTAATCACTTTTTAACAAACAAATGGATTTGGAGAACTAAGGTGATTTCACCTTTCACCAAAATTTCTGAAGAGTCTGGAAAAAGGTGAACTTTTCCCCAGACACTTCAGAAATTTTGTCTTGATACTGATCAGTAAATTTATATGAATATATCTGCTATTATATGAAATCCTCAAAACAAAATGCAGAGACTCTGCTAACTTTTGAAATTATTCTCACTAACTGATTTGATAAAGTTACCATTTAATATTTTACATAAACGCTGAATAAATCTGCAAATATCACACATTTTCCTCTATATTTTTGAATTTTTGCTTCAAAAGATGGATTAATTTTCATATCTAAATTACTTTTTTATTAGAATTTATGCAAAAAGTACACTGGAAATAGATAAAAATATATTTCAAAATTCAAACTAGAACTTTTGAACGTTTTGACAGACTTACAGATCACGAGGAAAAAATTTAATGCAGAGTGATATAAATTTGATTTCAGATTTCAAGAATTTTAAAAACATGCTAATAAATAAATAAATTAAAAATTACTAGTTTAGAATATAATGTATTAAATCCCATCCTCTTACATGAAAATCTTCATTTCATACAACTGTACTGATTACATTGCTACAATCTCACTGACTGATAAATTGTCAGTACCACATCACAATCACGAACTTATATTTTTTACTATTTATGCCAATTATACATTATGTGAAAAGAAAGAGATGATAGTCTATGAGATAAATATACAGTCAAAAGTCTTTAATTCGGACTCGTCGGGACTTCGTCGATTCTGGATTATTAATTTTTCCGGATTGTAGATCATCAGTTTAAATCTGGTAAGAAGGCATGCAGAAATTATAAAATTAAAAATATTAAACCGTAATTTATGAAATAAAGAGCAATTATGATCTAAAGGGTATCAAAATTTACAAAAAAAAAAAAAAAAAAAAAAAAGCTTAATATTTATTTGTTTACTTTATTAAACATTTCTTTCAACGCCCGCATGCATAAAGCATACATTACGCACAGTCAAAATTAGAAAATTGCAACCAGAAAACTATTTGATGTGTACTTGTGATATTTATAATGACGAGGAATTTGATTTAAATCATATCAAAGACGGAATACATCGAAATGAAATACTACATTTACTAAGGAATTATAAGCTGAATAAAATAAAAACATCTGCCCTGAAGATAAGGATAGTGCTGACAGATCAACTTCCAGTTCATTGCGCGGCGCGACGTCCCCCCCCCGCAGAGTAGCGTGAAATTCATAAACAGATTTCGGAATGGTTAGAGAAACAAAGGATATGCCTTTATCCATTTTTTGCAGCAATTCCACTTTTTGTTTGATGAACAATGAAACATACTTTTGCTTTGTAGATACTTTCGCTTTCGAAACATACTTTCGCTCTGGCAGCTCCAGCATCGGAAATTATATTTGACATAATCGAAAGTTCAAGCTTACTTTTATAAAATTGCTCTAAGTCTCCAAAAAATAATAAGCTGGATCCAATTCGAAGATTAAGAACAACGCAATCTGAAACATTAACTGAAATAGATAATTTTAGCTTAGCTTATACCGTCCGTTATACATTAAACGCCCATGCGTAAATGTATTATGCGCATGCGTAAAAGTATTACGCGCGTACGTTGACGCATGCGCAGAAAGTTTGTAGCTTTGAGGTCCGAATTATAGATCATTCTGGATTATGGGTGTCCGCATTAATGACTTTTGACTGTATATGAATGCAGAACTCATTTTGTCTCAAAACCAAGGATATACCAAAATTTTAAATTGTGATGCTCATAAAAGCGGTGATTCTGTACCCTTGGTTTCAGTACGGCAAAAACATAAGTTTCAATTTTGAAAAAGTAGAATGTAAGATTTATTTAATTATATGCTAATTATTTATATTACTGCTTCACTATGCACAAAATTTTCTTCACCATTAAAATACAGTAGATTCACAGCCACACTTTTTTATTGTTACCATAAATTTGAATTTATGAAATTCACTATTTTCTTCTGCATACTTTGCTATATATTTGGTGATAGAATTACTACCCTACCTATGAGTGATAAATTTAGATGAATTGCACCAAGCTTGGAAGTGATACTATTTTTAGAGGTAGGAGCTAATTTCTTTGGACAATGAGTCTTTGATGGAGCTATAGTGCTCACCACAAGCATATATCATTTTAATAATATGTTCCCACAAATTTGCTTAATCTGGGCTAAATGATGACTCACATTAATATAAAAATACTGTTAGATAGAAACAGTAAATGCAGCAAACATGAAATGGAATTATCCTGTTAAAACATACAGGTTGTCCTACATATCTGTAATACTTTCTGCAGATGTTATTTGATATTTCACTGTATTCGGTTTCAGATTTACACATGAAAACATCAAAACAAAGACATGGCGGATAGCTACTAAATGCCTATTCAAAATGATGGAATTTTGGAATTTCTTTTCTCAAATCCTGTTAATAATCAGACTTTTCCCCCTTATAATGCAGTTTTGCATTACATGCACTTATATTTGATTTTTTTCAGTTTGTACCAATGTATGTATTGTATGAATATGGATTGTAATTTTATCATGAAAAAGAATGGCATGCTTATGGGGCGATACTGAGGAAAGCAGTGAAATTTCATGGCCTGGATGTAATCAGTATTTCAAGGAAGAATGCTACCAGATATCAAGCAGTAATGCAAGCACTAGCATGCAACTATATAAGTATTACACTGGCATTTTTAAAAACTAAGATTTAACATTTTGTCAGTACCATGGTAAAATATGAATCTGGAAAACTACTGTTTCCAGAAAGCAAAATACTAAAAAGAAAATCGAAATGAAAATAAACAGCAAAAGATGTAAATTCATGGTATTGATGTGCTCTGACAATTAATAAATCGATGAAATACTGGCAATGGTATCAATACTGGATTTAACTACTGCTAAAAACTTCATCGAAGTGTCATCAGCATTTTGATTCAATATACATAGTACCTACACAGTCCATCACTTTGTAACACACTTTTGAATTTAGAAAAAGGGCCATTGAATAACAGAATTATTCAAAGGTACTAAGAGACAATGAAAGGTGGCAGCTGGGAAACATGTATCAAAATATTCATTTCTTAATATCTTAGGTGAGAAATCTAAAGGGGGGGGGGAAAAGAAGAGACAGCTTATGAAGTCTGATCTTTTGAGAAATTTCACACACTGTGTTTAGTAGCAAACAGAGTTATAGTTTAGTTCACTTGCATATTTACATATTCTTAAAACGAAAGATGCACAAAGTAATGAAATTTGTTTAACCTCTCTTTTTGTCTTCCCTCTTATAACTCTATCATATTCTTCTCTTCGCTTGCGGTCCTAGAAAACAACATAATTTCTGCTTAGAGCATGGAAATTTCACAGCAACAGAGAAAAATGTTTTAATGAAAGCCTTTTTACAGGTATAGCTAGATTTGAAAAATTAAAGAGTATGCATATTATTCCACCCACTTACAGAACATGGGTAGAAATACTACAGTACATGGTAAATTTGAACATTTTAAATTCTGATAATTTGTAATGACAGTCTGAGTTTCTTTAACCCTTTGCGGCTCAGTGTTCCACTACATGGAACACCCAAACTGAATCGCTTCTGAAACCTTTAAATTCAACCGTATATAGATAAAAATGCCTTTATCATATACTTTGAACTTTTCTTTTTAAACAGTAGATAGCAGCATATCACAAGGATACACAGAATTTTCATTTATTATGTGTTATTAAAATCCACTTTTTTTCAAGTAATTTTCTCTATTTTTTTAATGATATAAAAAATTTTATTTGGAAAAAAAATTAGGCATAATTTTGCTGGCTGTACTCCAAATTTTTGTTCTATATTTTTTTTTAATCTTTCATACAAAAACCATACGCAGAATCATTGAATGAAACCAGGTGTTCCATTAGCAGGAACACTGCGCCTTTAGCAATCTCAAGCTGTTAGGAATCAGAACATCTGTGCTTAGGAGAGAACATCTGTTGTTTATGTTTTTCTGTTTCCGTTGTTTTGGGGGGGATGAATTTAAACAAACCAGTATTGAGGGGTGAGGTGTGTTTTGTGTTATGAAAGCCCTAATATTGGCATCTCGAATTTTTGGGAGTAGTGTTTAGGTGGGAATTTTATTAGTAGCTTGACTCATCTTTACACCTGCCCGACACTCTGACACTTGCGCGAATTTTTTGCTGTCGCATTTTAGTCTCATTTCCATTTATTTTTCAATAATTGTATAGATATTTTTCATGTATGTATATATTATAGGTTTCTAATTCAGAAGTCAAACAACAAAAATCAGCGTTATACCTACAAAATTTTCACAGGACTAGTTTCGATGGTTTTACCGAACCATCATCTTCAGCTGCAAAACCGCAAATGAACAAGATAGGAAATAATGATTAGATAAGATAAGAAAGCCTGAACAAGAATAAGCAAGTGGCGCCATCTGTTGGCGAAACCAGAACTAAAACATAATTTCTCTAAAAGCCGAAGGCAAATTTGGATTGGAATTAGGATCGTTAACTAGAACAGAAAGATTTTTATGAATGTGAAATGCCTCTAGAAAATCCAGTTCTCCAATGGAAGATGTTTTTTTCCCTTCTTTCCATCAATTAGCTATAAAGTTGCACATATTTTGCAGAAATTTAACTTTCGGGTTGTTTATTCTCCCATCAATAAAATTCCAACTTCTATACTCAAGGACCCCATTCCGGATATGAATTCCTGGGGTATTTATAGGATTCCTTGCCAGTGTGGTTTAATTTACATTGGCCAAACTAAGAGAGCCTTAAAATTTCGCGTCAAAGAACATGAGGCATATGTTAGAAAAAAGGAAACACAGAAGTCTTCTGTTGCTCAACATTGTTGGTCCGAAAATCACACTTTCAATTTTTCTGCTACCAAAATTATTCAAAAAACATCTTCCATTGGAGAACTGGATTTTCTAGAGGCATTTCACATTCATAAAAATCTTTCTGTTCTAGTTAACGATCCTAATTCCAATCCAAATTTGCCTTCGGCTTTTAGAGAAATTATGTTTTAGTTCTGGTTTCGCCAACAGATGGCACCACTTGCTTATTCTTGTCCAGGCTTTCTTATCTTATCTAATCATTATTTCCTATCTTGTTCATTTGCGGTTTTGCAGCTGAAGATGATGGTTCGGTAAAACCATCGAAACTAGTCCTGTGAAAATTTTGTAGGTATAACGCTGATTTTTGTTGTTTGACTTCTGAATTAGTATTTATTCAGCGTGTTATTGTGTCTTAATTATATTATAGGTTTATTTTTCTTTATTGTTAACATTAATCGTAGTTAATTTTCTTATTATTAATTTTCCATAAATGGCACAGAGAGGTCTAACTCTTTCCGAAAATTTGTAAATATTTTTGTATATAGGACTTATGTATATAGATATTTATCTCATTTATCCGTATATATTCAAGAATATTGTGTATATCCAGGAAACCATGTATACAGCCATAATACATAGTGTTTGTTTTCTTTCTTATACAAACGCTTCTACTCATTTTCGTGCTTCACTGCAATGCTCACTGAGTGGCACTTTTAAAAGCTCTGGCGGCACAGTGTTCCACCTCATGGAACACCCACTGAATTAAAATGGTAAGTGCAATTTTTACAAAATTTTACCTGTATACTCCTTTAGGACTAAATAGACTGCATACAACTTTTTTGTTGAAATTCCGACGTTAACATATAGTGCGCCGCAAAGGGTTAAAGCAAAAGTAAGTTTAGGCTCGCACATTTTATTTACACAGTTAATACAGCATTTAACAATAAGAACTATTAAGTAAATTGCTTTTATTCTTTAACTGTATTTCTCACGTGTAAAACTCAAAATGCATTACAAAGAGTCAGAATGCTAGAGCGATGTTGCCCCATACTGGCAACATCAACTATTCATAACAAGATATGATCCATATAACATTTAATGGCTATGAAAGCATAGGTGAACATTCATAATAAATGGGAGTAAACAAAAAATCCACAGAAATACTCTAGCAAGAAGTTCTCAACAGGGGAAAATTTCATAACTTTAGGCAGTGGGAATGCAGTGAGCCTTTTATTTATCTGTTAAGTATTTAGTTTTAGTTTATGAATATGAAATACAACTTTTATTCAAGTTTTAGTATTTATCAACATTTTCTAAAACTTTTCATTTAGTTTATAAAACAAGTTAAAAAATAGTCTAAATTTAAGTGATTTATTGTATGTATTTTTCGAGTTTTGGAATAGAGAGAGGGAATCGTCTAGTAATTGTGAAATGGGTGCATGGGGCTAAAAAAGTTGAGAACCACTGCTTTAGCAATATGTAAACATTAATACACTTAAAAAAGGGGGGATAACAAAACTTTAAGAATCATGCACAATTTTAAAATCTTTAATACGATATTGAGTTTTATTTATAATACTTACAACATAGCTGATAAGACAACTACAAGGAATCCAAACCACAAGAGAAACTAGGACCACTGTTCCAACAATGTTGTCATTTAGAAATTTCACTAAAAAAAAAATGCTTGTAATACTATTTGCAATAAAAAAATTGCTCTTTAATCCAAACAATTTTATTGAATTAATTATATAAAATGCATACTTGTGTTCAAAATTAGGGGAATTTAAAAAGGTACTATTCGGTTTTGAGGGCCGTAAAAAATCGCCAAACTACTGTTGATGCCAGTGCTGCCAAAAATAATTGTGGCAAATCTACACAAGGAAGGAAGTATAATAGTAAATAATTATCAAAGATTGATGTTTTAATTTAGATGAAAAGTTAATTCCATATAATACATTTTTATTATTATAATTTATCTAAAAAAAGGCTAAAAATGACTGAATGGAAGCATAAGAGTAAATAACTATTTCAGATCATTATTATAATTTATATAAAAATTGCTAGACATAACTGAATGGATGCCTGCATCGCTATTTCGCTACCGAGTTATCGCTAAGGCATAATTTCATCTCGTTGGTTGTTCAAACATAATTTTCTATAATGAATGATGCCTTTTCTTTAAAAAAAAATTCTCGATAAAGTGCAGAATTGCTCACTTATTTGTTTGCCGCTTTTTACAACGGTAAAAACAATTGGATTTTTGTCCATTTTCTTTTACTTTTTAAGTGAAAATAGGTCGATGTGTACATAGATATAGTCAGGAGTGTGCACAGTGCTATCTTTGTACAATTTTAGGTTTTTTTTTTTTTAAATTGAAAATAGGTCGATGTGTTCACGGATACTGAGTATGTGCAATTCTTAAAAACGCGTCAAGCAGTGGGTGGTTCTGCACTTTACCCAAAATTCTATTGCCGACTTCTCGTCATGGGCAATTCGCAAATTGTTAAATCCATAGAGGATATCAAGAAAGGATTTAAAAATTAAACTAGTATTTCAAAGGCGTCTTAAGAAATAAAGAACTATATAAACTTATGCAATCTGAAATCAGCGTGTACGCTAGATTTGGCGCTTTTGTGCATACATTTTCGCTGCAAATTTTTTACGTTCCTCCAAAACAGAATAGTACCTTTAAAAATTATGTCTATTTTTACAAAACATACTGAACCAAAGATACTAATTATGCCAATATTCAGAGTCAAATATGTAAGTACACATGTTTGTGACTGTGGAGATGTGACTCTGTAGGATATAAGCACATGAGGTTTTCAGCAATTGTGTGCTCCTACTCCTTCCGGACATTCAGTTTTCCTCCCAGAGTTGGGTAAATTTTAAAAGGTATCGGGTAAAATGAGTAGCCACAAATGTATGGATTATCTGCAAATTGGAGGCAGGAGAATTGGAAGCACAGGTGGCTACAGAACTTAATTTAATGCCCAATGTTGTCTGCTGTTTACGGAAGCAGTTTCAGGATAGTGGGTATCTTGAAGATTTGGACAAGGTCGACCAAGATCCCAACAACGAATGAAGATCATTATTTGGTACTTTCAGCATGACAATACATGACCACTACAGCATCACAGCTCTCACATGAGCCATATGCTGTCACTGGAACCTAAGTTTTACAGTGTACAGTTGCTCGAAAACGTCATGAGATACGGCTGTACACCAAAAGACCCATTTTATTTGTGTCACATTTACTACAGCACACAACAGATAGCATGGTACATACAACAGAGCCTTGGACCATACTTCAGTGGAGCACCGTGTGTTTTACAGATGAGACAAAATTCAGCCTTTACAATGATGCTCAGCATACATACATGCACCTGAAGAAAACTTGGAAAACAACATTATCCTTCCCTCATTAGCAAAAAGGCAGGCATTATGTGGATAGCTGCACACCCTTATATGTGTTTCACAAAAGCTTCCTGACAGCCATGAGGTGTAGAGACAAGATCTTACAGCCCTATGTTTGACCTTTCAAGGGCACTGCTCGTCTTGGGTTCCTGTTAATGGATGACAACGCTCTTTCACTGTTGATTACCTGGAAAGAGCAGATATTCTCCGAAGGGATTGTCTGGTTAGATCTCCTGACCTAACACTAAATAACATGTCAGGGGTACTCTTGGGAAAGCAATTTCATCTTGCAATCCCCTATAATGAATGATGCCTTTTCTTTAAAAAAATTCTCGATAAAGTGCAGAATTGCCCACTTATTTGTTTGCCGCTTTTTACGACAGTAAAAACAATTGGATTTTTGTCCATTTTCTTTTACTTTTTAAGTGAAAATAGGTCGATGTGTACATAGATAAAGTCAAGAGTATGCACAGTGCCATCTTTGTGCAATTTTAGGTTTTTTTTTAAAATTGAAAATAGGTCGATGTGTGCATGGATACTGAGTATGTGCAATTCTTCTGGAGAACCATTCTGGAGTTGAAAACCGCCTTGCTGCAGGAGTGAGATCGACTGCCACAGAGACTTCTTTCTCAACTGCCCCCTGTCCAGTATGCCATCACTCTGATCGATTTATCTGGACATCAGAGGGGAACAAACAACTTATTTCTAGTTCAATATCAAAATGTACACTTTGAACATCCCTGCACTATGAGCTTTATTGAAAATCATAGTTCATAAAATGATTTTTGAATGATACATATCTTTCTCTGCTACAAATGTATATTTATACCAAATTTTTATTAAAATCTATATTAGATTTTCAGAAATTGGATATAATGTGCAAATTCTCATAATTTTGCACACAAATGTATATTTCTTAATCAGAATAAAAGTTACCAAAATGGATAAAAACTAAAGATATATTTAAAATGACTAATCACAGATAATCTAGCACAGTATACTAGTTATCCAGAACATGCTTATCATTTTGAACTCATTTGAGAGATTTTAGTTGAAAGGTTGAAATTAGAATATGGCCAGTTATTTGATACATGATGAGTAAATGCAGTTACTAATGGAAGCAGAGAATGAAAATCAATTTACAAAGTAAACAAAGTTTAAAAGCAATTTATTTTCATATAGGGTTATCCATAATTCACTGAAAGATTTAAATATTCATATCAAATACCCTATGCAATGTATCATATCATTCTTATGTTAACTAAAGTAGCTATTCTTTAAGACTTTTTTTTAATAAAAAGCTTGTGAACATAGCAGCTGCAGTTTATGGATAAGAGATACAGAGCAGTATGCAGTTCAATAAATACAAGCAATCAATTTGCAATTTAAAAAAGGTCACCTGTTTTGATTGTGCAGCAATGATTTTAATCAAAATAACAGAGGCAATCCCTGTTTCCAAAACAGCATCAAGAAGTGGCATGCAAAGTTTTAGGATGAAGGCTGTCTATGCACAGCTCATTAGTGCAAGTCAGAAAGATCAAGTCAAGAAACTATGAGTTGTGATAACACATTATGGGTACATGACTGCATGTTTAGAGATTGCTATCTGCAGCACTCAATAATGTTGATAACTTAAAAAGACCGACAGTTCTACTGAGAGGCCTCACCAGTGGTGAGTTCAGTTAAAGCCACTGAATATTGGGAGGTCGACCTAGATTAGATCCCAGGCAAATGGGCTGACTGCATGGCCAGTTTTCACAGTTTTCTCCATGTGTAGCATTGGAAAAATGTAAAATCAGTTTTGTTTAAAAAGTCTTCCATGAAGGCATCCCTTTTCTTATGTGGATAGCCCTCATGTGATTTGCCATATTCAAGTAAAACTTAAATTTCAATTATAGGAGCTGAAGAGAAACAGAATTTGTTATCTGTATAAAGTCCTTTTACTGCTGAACTGCATAATTTGCTTTAACACTTTTATTCCACAAGTAGTGGCAAACTCAACAGTCTCTTTGATTGTTATCTGCCTATTCAAAAGTCCATTTAGTGCCAGGTTACAGTTTTGATGAGATGCTGTTATGCATACAAAATCTTAACTTATGACAATACCAATTTTTTAAAAAATTCTTTACACATTATGCACAGAAACCTGTTGTCACGGAACTTCAGTTTTGGGTTGGCCAGTTGAAATTGCTCACTATATTCTTCACTCTGCTGATGGCCCTTCATCTTATTACCTAATTAAAACTTTTCCATCTGTTTTATGGATTTTTGGTAGTTTCCATTTTCAAATCAAGTGGATTATGCAGTGCAAAGCACAAGATCTGCATTCCCCAGGACTTCGGCGACTCCAGATTTTTGTTCATCAATTTAAATCTAGTATAAATATATGTAGACATGGCAACATTTTGGCTTCACTTATTGTTTGGTTCAGATAGAAAAACAAAAATCCTAATCCCTCACAGGGTTGGCACTACAGCAGGTGCAACCGCAATGGATGTCAGAATTTAGGGAAGGCAAAAATTTTAGAATCCAGAGAAGCATCAAACTATTGGGACTATTTTGGAGAGGTATTGGACAGCAGAATTCAGGCCAATAGAATTCTTAGAATTTAGGGGAGGTACTTGGCAGCAGACTTCTGAACATGCACAGACTGCAAAATGTTTAGCACCAGCCTTGTCCTTCCACAACTACTCAAGGTCCAAAAGTGCAATCCAAGACAACATTAACACAATGTCTATCAATGCATTGTTATTTGTCACAATGCAAACTTCCTAGCCAGCAGGTGTTTGAAAGGAAGTGCAGGATTCTCAGTTAGTATGGAGAAAAATCCTATTTACAGCACACCTTCCTTTTTTTTTTTTTTTTTTTTTATGTATTCTCCATTCTCTGAGTCTCTAGGGGAGGGTTTTTTTTAAATTTTAATTACTTATTTACATTTTATATTTTAGGCTGGTGACACAAAGTTCCAGATCTTGGATCATTCTGGATATTACACATCCTGATTTTGGACTTTGTACCGTATTCTTCATTTAAAACAGTATATAGCTTCCAGTTTCCAGATTTTTTACTGGTAGATATTTTGAAACAGTTGTCTACCTTAATATAGACACCAGTGTATATGGAGACTTGTTTTCTACTCCTGACCATTCAAATAACATGCCTTAACCATCAGTAATATACAGCTAAGACAACACACTCACAGCTGAAGTTTATTAACTGTCTGAATGGCATGACTAGCTTTGTCTGGTAAAGAGATTTTTTTTTATCACTTTGTATATATTAGTTTGTAATTTAAGATATTTTGCTTTCTTATTTTCTTCAATACTGTAAATATCATCTTAATGAGTGTAGGTTAATGAAAATAGAGACTAAAACAAGTAAATATACAAATTTTGCTAATAAATGCTGTTTAAATACAGGTCTTTGTGAAAGATCCAAAATTCTGCGCTGCTCAGAGGGTTAAGTGTGTCTGTTCGTATGTGCCAAAAATCCTATCTGCATCTTTATTTTTATTATTTAAATGTAGATATACGAAATCATTTTTAGTTGTAACTAAATTCACAAAAGCACACTTGTATCTGCCATATGATATTTTTCCCCTTGTGATAACTACGAGATAACTTGGAACTAGATAAACAATACTCACTTTTTCTGCACACTCATGCAAAATTCCTCACATGTGATACATTACTTTCCAATAGTCTTACATCTGTTACTGAACAAGACTTTGAGCAATTGGCTTATAACATTTCCCAAGTGAATAAATAAATAAATAGATTTTGTATTCTAAAAGAGATCTGTATTTAATTATAATTTATGAAATAAACGATTTGACAACTACATTTCAAGAAATAAATGATCCATTTCAGTATGCCAAGTGTATTATTTAGTCCCTTTCTGCATACCAAACACCTAAACATAGTGTACATTTACTACAACAGCACTTGTACTCAGTCTTTTAGGTAGGGCAATGAATAACAAGTAATCTTGTCGCTTGCAAGTAAACTCAGTTTGGCAACTATGAGTATTCTCGTAGATGGTAGCGAACATGTTACGCTAATAAAAATACAGCTAAAATGTTAGAAGCATCGAAAGTAAGAAATTTCAAAATGCTGAATTTTCTGTACAGTAAACTTTGCTGTTAATGGACAGTTCAAATATTTATATTCCTCCCAATGGCAACATGCTGTCTTTCAAATGGCATTATGAACCTCAGAACACAGAGACAATTCTACGAATATATTCTAAAAGGAAAGACTTAGTAGCATACAGGATAATTTAGCACCAAAACTCTTTTTCTCACCCCTTTTCACTTCCTTGTGCGAAGTAAAAAGGAAGTATTGTAATCGCGAAAAGTTTCACGCAGCATATTTCAAAAAAATATCCATTTTGACCGCTTTCAAATGCAATTTAACGATGTTTGTGCGGGACATCTGTAAGTAAGGAACAGAAATAAAAGGACTCTTTTTCTCCAAACGAATTATAAAACTGATTTCAAAATGAATTTTGAAAAACAATGTTTTCGTGGCGTCTGTACGATATGTATGTATGTGTTTCGCATAACTCAAAAATGACCAGTCTCAGAACGTTGAAATTTTGTATACAGAGAATTTTTCGTGGCGTCTGTACGAACGTCTGTACGTACGTATCTCGTATAACTCAAAAACGAGTAGCCTCAGAATGTTGAAATTTTGTATACAGGACTGCTATAATATGTTGATGTGCACCTCGTATTTTGGTTGAAATCGGCTGCACCAAATGTATATAAATATATTTATATATATCCACTCTGTTACCCGGCTCAGTGATCTAAGCTTCTTTACTCTTATATGTTTGTAAATTGTACATTTTTTGCTTTAAAATGATTGAATTATATTGTTCTTATCTTCCGGTTGAAGTTTTTAGGCCTTTAGTAAATCTGCATGCAATATTTTTAGAATTATCAACAATTTTAAAGCTGTTTAAGTGCCGCTAAGCCTAATAATGTTTTTGATGGCGGCCATTGCTTGTTTACATTTGAAACAGCAGAGTAGTGGATTTGTTGCTAATCTAGAGAAATGTAGCTTCGCAACAAAAAAGATAACGCCTTCATTTATTATTGTGAATTAAATCATGCTTAATCCTTTCTGGAATTTTTTCGAGGAAATGAGTGTTTAAGATTTACTTCGTGATTTTTAATACAGATATTTTGAGTTTTTATGTATTTTTGCCTTGTCGCGGAGTGAGAACTAAATTAACTGAATGAGAAATACTAAATCATCTGTGAAAAACTGTTTCTTTTTTGTTATGTTTGCTTAATTTCTTTTATACATAGTTCTAGCTTTATTATAGTATTTGAATGGAACATGTGGAAATGATTAGATAATTCTTTAAATGATATAAATTTTGTGCATTCTGAGTTATAATATGAACGAAATATAATACTGTTAAGTGAACCTAGCGCCAGAGTGTCACTATGGTAAACAAATAGAGTGAATTTTAAAGAATGCATTTATTCTATTGTGGTTTATGCGCTGTCGCCGAAGTAGGTTTAATTCAATCCAATAAGTTTAAACGAAATGCAAGAAAAAATGCATCTAATTTAATATTCCGTACAAGGAAGTCATGTGGTGTACACATCAGATTTTTTCTATTTGATAACAAATACAAATATTTTTGATGCACATGAAATCTATAAACCTGAAAAGGACGATTACAGTATATATAATCTGATGATTTATGATAAGTATTTGACTTGCACATCCATTTTATTAAAAATTCTAACGATGCTTGAATTCATTATAACACTTTCTAAAGAATATCCCTACAATAAAATCATAATATACTGCATACAAAATAAAATCAACTACTTACTGACGGTATTAATGTTAATGTCCTCAATGATATCCCAAAATCTCTCCACAATATCCTGAACAGTTTTCTTGCACTCTCCCTTGAAAGAAACAAATATGCTAGATTACTTATTCTGCAGAATAGTTTTAAACTTGAATTTGAAGCTTTTTGTGATTAATGCAAAATCAATAACACAGTTCTAATTCACAACTACTGACATTACAGATAAGTTTTCTCAACAGACTAATCAAGCAGACAGTGTTTTTTAAACTGTTTTAAAAAATCCATTATACTTTCAGTTTTTCCCAAACATAACAATACCATCTTGAAAAAAGGTTTAGAATCATCATTCTAGAATATGTAACACTTAGCTTGTACGCGCTACATAGCGTCATGCTAAATTGGTAATAATTTTTGCACATACAAGCAATGGTGTAATTTTGTACAAAAAAATCTTTAATAATTCTCAAGACACACTTAAGCAATTTTTGATGTACAGAAGTACATTTTAAACAGTTTGACAAAAACTGATATGTCCTCCTACATTTTCACTAGCTATCAACTGCTACTGCTTTACAAAAACTTGATAACCTATTCTTCTGCATATCATGAAACCTGCTATCTCAAAGACATATTGGGTAAAATGAGGTAACATGATTTACCATAACAGAAATGAGAAACAATCAAACAGAGTGAAAGATGATACAATTGTGATATTAATTATGCAGAGTGTATCGAAATTACTTGCTAAAGATAATAGCAATACTAGAAATAAATAACTCATGAAAAGTGCATATATTTTTGTACGGAGAGATAATTAAATGTCTATATATTTAAAACTGTTACATTTATAAAAATTCCTTCACAGCTTTCCAGGGCCACAACCTTACTCAGATGAGACTCAAGCAATCCACACAGACTAACAAAAGTAGTCAGTAAGCACAGACCAAACCAGAATAAAAATAATGTTTTAACAAAATTTTAAATATGTAGAATTTAAACTTAAAGCACACTCATTTAGTGCTAAGTATGCTGATGAATTCAAAAACAAAAATGCCCTAAAGCTATATATTTTATATTTTTCACTTACAAGAAAAACAAAGATGTACCTATATTTTTCTATCACTTCATAATTTTTTAAAAGAAACTGAATGAAACTTTAAAAAAAAAGTCAATTTAAGAATTTATGAGATCTCAGACTTTTACACATTAATTCTACCTTTAACAAAAAGGTAAAGAAGACTGAATTATGATTAAATTTGCACATTTACTTTCTTACTGAAAAACTTACATTTTCACAGTAGCCATGTATACAAGGAGTACCATCTCTCAGAATTTCAGTAGGTTCGATTGGGCGACATGTGGAATTTTGAGTTGGTCTGCAACATCGCTTACATGCATCCTCTTCTATAAAAAGTAAATTTAATTTAATAAAATCAGTTAAAAAATAATTGCCCAATATTCATTGAATTCAAATATCTTCTTTTACAAGCAACTCTGCAAAAGTGAACAATTAATTATTACTTTGTTATTTCAGCAAACATTTACTTAAGTTGTACACAAATCCCTTGCAGACACCACTTTTGATATAATGTCATACAATTCCAAATCTCTGCAGAAAACCTATGTTTAACAGGTCACAGATATTTAGCCAATTAATACAAATGTTTATGGTTTAATATTTTAATTTACTGGTAATTACTATTGCTAATTCAAATATTTTTAAGTCGCTTCAATATTCCAATACAAATTATGAAAATCAAAAACATTTTCAGTCAAAATTATCCATAAAGTTCAATGCAACCTACTTCATACATTTGGAAACTTGCTATAGCCATATAAAATAACATTAAGAGTAAAGGCAACTAACTGTACAGGACTAAAATGCTTATTATAGTGAGAAGTTCATTATAAATCAGGTGCACTTTAAACAGAATTTGAATGTAGTATTAAATACACAGACTGCATCACATAAAAACTTCTAAATACTGCAGCTTTAATATGTTTACTCTTTTGTTATCAGGGAAAGAAAAGAATTTTTCCATACCTCTATCACACAGACAAGAATGCAAACCAAGAGTTTCACAAAAAGGAACACACTCTCCACCTCTGCACTTGCCCCTATATACAAAGAAAGTTTAGATGAACATGGACATAGTACATACGTAGAAATAGTCTACATGTCATGGTCTTATCTAAAATTTCAAAAAAATTATTTGATAATATTAACATAATTTTTCATATACCTGTCTAAGCAAGGAGAGCCATCAGGTTGAGGAAATGATGATGGGCAATCTTGAGATTCTCCAGTGATTTATGTTAAAGAATCACATTCCAATAAATTACTAAAGCAAAATATATATCATGTCAACTTTGGCATAAGCATTATAGGAAAATAAAAGGTATATATTTCCGTGTTTAAGCTGAGAATTTTTGGAACTTTTTCTCAAGCTAAATTATGAGGGTTGACTGAAATATGGATCTGCTAATCTCACAAAAAAACATAAGATACTTATCCATTAACAAGGTGCAAGCAGTAAATAACACTTTTTTGTGTAGTTTATATTTAAATATTTTTAATGAAGTGAGCTATTTGTTTTATGAAAATGAGTTGCTTTTATTTTTGAAACTGTTTAAAATGCTCATTTGTTGCATCGTTGCCAAAATGAAAGATCTGATGTAGGCAAAATTTGCTGGAAGTTGATAGGGAAAATGAAGCTGGAAGTTGAAAGGGAAAATGATGTTATAAGTTGAAAGGGAAAATGATGCTATGAGTAACTCTGGCAAGCGTCCTGCTCATTATCTTCCTATTCTGCAGGGGATTGCTAGGGCAAGTCGTGAAACTAGCTCCTTTATTTCTGCTGCCTCTTTCCAAGAGACAACAAAAGTACTTTCAGTTATGAGAAATGCTGAGCAGCCATACTGTGGTTAAAATTTTCAGCAAATGCGATCGATCACCTGTAGTTTAAAATTCTCTTTATGCTAATCTTTCAGGAAAAAAATAAAATGGCATAAAAAATAAGACCATAATCTGACAAATTCTATGGCTTACCATGTATTGCACAAGGTAATAAGAAAGTTGACACAAACATGAAGAAGAAAGAGACCACAAGACAATGCATGCTTTGACAAGACCAAGCCAAAAATTTTGGACAATCAGATTGCAGTACCATAAACCCTTGCCAAATGCAGATTGCAGAATGTGATTTTGGTATACATGTTTTCTTCAATGTTTGCACTTAATTTGCCTAATGTAAAAATTTCAATTATACACAATGTGAGGAATATTGGCTAAGATGCAACAGACCTCTCTACCAACAGGTTTGAAAAGCCATTACTTAGAACAGCAAAACTTGAGCTTTAAAGCTCTCCTTATTCTCGACAATGCTCCAGGACACAGTACTGAAGCTGTTACAACATTACACTCTAATGTAGATATTTGCTTAATCCACCAATGGATCAAGGAATAACTTGATTCAGTGGTGAATAAGGAATAATTTTTCACTGAACACCACTTATTTCATCCTACCAGTGGATCAAGGAATCAAAAGCATTCAAAGCTTATTATGTCAGCCATGTTTACAAAATGTCACTCTGCAAATAAAGCACTAAATGAAGGAAAGCAAACACACAAATGATATTTTGGAAGCAATTCAACGTAAGACACTGCACAATGATGAAATTCATATGGGAACAAGTGAATTTATGAGCAATGAATGTTTCCTAGCTTCAGCATTGGTCAGAAATTGTCATTAATTTTAAAGGGTTGCCGTCAATTGAAAATGAAGCCAAGGAAATCATACAAATTACAAAAGCAATAGGCAACAAAGGATTTTTCAGATATGGAAGATGGAAAAATTAAAGAATTAGTTGAGAATCAAGATCATAAAATGACAAATGAAGAATAGGATAAGCTTATAACACCAGCCAATACAGAAAGCAGCGATAGTGAAGATGATAAAGAGCCTTTAATGGACAAGAAGTTACTGTCTGTCTACCACAAGAACATCTTTCAACAGAATGTGTACAGCTGTCTGCTGCCATAGAAATGAGTTCTAACTCATTTTTCATAGATGTGTTTCGAAAAAATGTATTTACGTTTGCCATAATGACGAATTGGTGATATATATACTTTTTGATTATTGCTTAAAATAAAATCTTCTTTGTAACATTATTTTATCTCTTCTGTGACCAATATTCACCAAACAAAAACAGCAATGTAATTCTTTCCTGAACTCCCCCCTGCTTGAAACGTAAAAGGCCTGTTACTATGGCGACTACTTCCAGTTAGATATACTGACATGAGGAGCTCTCGTGATAGACAGACAGTAAATGAATTGCCAGAAAAGACACATGAACTATCTAAGTTTGTAATGGAGACTGATCCAAATGAAGAAAGAAGAGAACACTTTATGACAGGCATTGAAAAACTTTGCACTCCTTAGAGCAAAACATTTAATGAGTTGCATCAATTATTCATTGCCCAAAGCAAAAATCAATATCTATTTTAAAAAATAATTATATCATCTACCCACTTTTTAAACAGTAACAGAAATCCTTTCAATTAACTTTTTTTTTTCATTTTCCACTTTTAATTACAATATTTAAGTTTGTACAAAGCACACATACCTTCTTGATCTGCACTACACCCATCTCATTTTTTTTTCATGAGTTTTCATGTAATATGTAATTTTAAGGACAACCACCAAATACCTATTTTACCGCCCCTATTTATAAATTTCTAACTTCAACAATGAGTAACACATTCATGGCATTCACATAAAAATAAAGAGTTGAATAATCATTTATAAATTGAGGATCAAATGTAGTTCTACATACAACAAATTTTACAAGTAAGGTTACCTACAGTCGGTTGTTAAGTGAAATAAATGTTTTGAAAACAAGGTCTATTATTTTTTAATATCCTAATATCAAGTTTTACAATTTGGCAGCTTTCCATTGAAACGAGCCTTACAGCAAACATAACAAAATTACTGCCAGTGGTTTAGCTACATTAAATAATCTAATCTAAGTGCATTATTACGCTTACAACTTAGAGCTGCTGATAGATCAGTATCTATAAATGTATTAAAAACATATCACTAATAGGTAAAAAGATAACAAAAACTTTAACATAAATATAAAATAATAAATCTCACAAAGCACAAGTAAACACATATCAAAATGAGAAGGGGAAAAAACTAGATATATTTATGTAAATTTCTTCAGAGCTATTGTGCAAGCTACTGAACTGACATTCGCATAAAATAGAGTGCATATTTTGCATAAACATTTCTTTACCATTAAAACTAACTTTAAAAATGTACACCACACTGCAAATACTATGGTTATTTCATACCAAATTCTAGTTTTGCACATTCTCAAGCTTAAAAGATATTATTCAGGGCTTCATATTTGAAAACATCAAATCAGATGATACTACAAATGTGTCTCGTAGCACAGATCCAGCAAGACCAACAGTGTAAAAAACAGGAACATCATAATGAACAATTAAAAATTAATCTAGCGAGCTTCAATATTAAACTCAAAAGTATGAGAACAGATGAAGCCAGGAGTCTTAGACATTAGAAACTGTCTTATTGAGCACTACAGAGTTTAACAGAAATGAAAATATTTTTCTATAAAATCACTGCCACATAAAAATTACTCTATCTTATTTAAAAAAATTAAGAATAAAGGAAAATGATAAATTATTGCAACAAATGGTACTTTCCGATTACTCACATCTGCACAGAAAAGTTCATTTGCAAAGAAAATCAGAATATCGCCAAAATTGTTATCAACTCATGAACGAATTCAGCAAAAGTATTAACGGAGCAAGCCAGATATGCACATAGCATGTCTGTTTCAGCTGGTCAGCAGCATTGAGATTGTACGATACCAAAATGTGGAATTTTCTTTCTTTTTAAGTGAAAACAGGTAGTCATGTACATGGGGAGAACAATAGTACCAAAGAAAAAAACTTCTCGAAAAAGGTACGAGTTCTATTACCAGTGCTTCTTGGTTTTTCAATTTTTATTGACTGACTGCTCTTGTATAAATAATCAGAACATACCCAACAAACAGATTACTGGGAATGTACACACTCCAGACAGATTAATGATCATGTTCTTGATTTCACAGTAAAGTAAATAATGTCACAGAAAAATAAACTTAGTCATTATCAGCTAGCAATAACCCAAACATTATCTTACTCCAATCAGAGCTAACATTAAATAACAAAACATTATAGAGCATATGTATTATTTTCATGCAAAAGTATTTCATAACAGATTTTAAATCTTCTTATGAAAGATGTCAGTGTGTTGCATAATAAAACTATAAAGGTTAGTCAGCACCCGGTGGAAAACCAATAAGCTCAGATTCAATAATAAGTTACAGAAATAAGTTAAAAAGTATAAATAAGCATAAAGTTACTGAAATTGACAAAATGACTACAAACTGGCTAAAAGCCTGAATTTCTAAAAATTTTGATAAACGGCCATATGCTATCTGGCACCAAAAAACTCCAGCAGAAACAAAAATAGCACAATAACTGCTTAGTATAATTTCGTTAAAATATTCAGAATTGGAATTATCCAGCTTTTATCTCATCTGTCCTGAATTGGAAGAAAAACAGGTAAGAAAATAACAGTTTGTTTAATGCTATCTTTCCATCAATCAACAATATGTTTTTAACATGCTAACATATATATCAAACATTCAAAAATTATACAAAATTAATTCAATTTCAGTTAATCATTAAATGTACAAATTTTGATGCTACCAAAATTTCAGTTTTCAAAATACTACTCCTAATATAACACTAAACTAACATTTTCCCCATTATCCTTCAGCTTTTTATGGTGCATGCCATGAATAGCTCTTCATAAAAAATGAATATGAAAATAACAAGTTTTCAATATGAAAGTACCAACTTTTATATTCCACCTTGGAAACTGCAGAATCTGGTAAGCAAATCTGAATTCACTATATGGATCAAAAGCTCTCAGCAAGATTCCAATTTTTCTTTTTTCTTTTCCTTCTTTTTTTTTAATATTACATTATATTTGATGACTCATCGGCAAATGAGTCAGTTCTTTTAATACATGAGTCACAAATTTAAACAAATAATTTTTGGCTATTACTTAATAAATATGTTACAAGAAGAGAATATTTTCAGCAATTTTATACAACTCAGCAGTGTCGTTAAAAGAAATACTTAATAATTTGAAAGGCATAAAAAACTAATCAAAGGATATGAGCAAAAAGCTTCTTTTTTGCAAGCACTTGGTTGAGATTCTCTACAGATTGTTCCTCGATGAACCAACTGACAATTACGGCAGCAAGGTGCATTTTTGTCACTGAAATTAGGAATTAAAAAATTCTGTAACATTGAGCAAATATTTGACACATAAATAACACTGTGTAATAATGTATATGAAATTTTACATAAATATTAACAGATTAAGGGACGACAATAATTTCAACAAAGTAATTAAATATAAATTTCAAAAGAAATATATAGGGAATGTTTTAGAGTAAAATAAATATAGATATACAGTGGCTCCCAAAAGTGTTCGTACACTTTTGATTTTCATTGAAATAGGGGTCTATCCATTAATTAAAAGTAAACTTTTTGAATGAGATTTTAATAATAAGATCTATAATCTATTCGTAACAAAATTACATGAAACATTTTTAAAGTATAGCGGAAGTCTTCGTACACTTCAAAAAAATCTTGATATATTAGTAAATTAAGACACAATAACACGCCGAATAAATACTAATTCAGAAGTCAAACAACAAAAATCAGCGTTAATTTACAAAATTTACAAAATTTTGTAATTAACGCTGATTTTTGTTGTTTGACTTCTGAATTAATATTAGTAAATGTTTTCATTTTTTCGTTAAATTAATATTAGTAGGATATCCTTTAACATTCACAACAGCTTTTAAACATCTGGGAATAGATTTTACTATTTTATTTATTTATTATTTATTTTTATTTATTTTATTTTTTTGTATTTTCTGTATCAATGTTCATCTATTCTTCCATCATGGCTGTTTTGAGTTTGCTTTTCGTTTTGATGTTGTGTTTTCGTATTCTAACCTCCAGCTCTTTCTAAATGTGTTCTATGGGTTTTAAATCTGGTGACCGAGGTGGTGTTTTATTATAGAGACACTAAAGGCAAACGTTGAGAGGCGTATACTTAGGATCGCTATCATGATTAAAAATAAAGTTGTTTTCAATACCCGAATTTTGGGCTGATAATTTTAAATTATCTCTTAAAATATTTAAATAAAGAGAATGATTCATTACACCATCAATAAATACCAAATTACCTAGTCCTGATGCTGTCATGCCCCTTCCCCACACAAAAACACCTCCTACTAAGTTCTTAGAATGAAGTTTCCCATTTTTTCCCCTCCATACAGTTATTCGACCATCGGAACCAAAAATGTTAAATTTGCTTTCGTCAGCAAATAGGACATTATTTCAGTACGTTTCGGGTGTATTTATCTTTGATTTTGAGAATGAAAGCATAAGTTTTCTGTTTTTCTCAGTAACAAAAATTTTTTTATGGGCATAACGCCCATGTAATCCAGCTTCTCTGAGAACTCGTTGAACAGTTTAAGGTGAAATTGAAGTAGAAAACTTTGGCAATTAAATTCTGGCAGAAACTTTTTACAGCACTCAAACGGGGTTTTACACAAAATTTTCCAATAAAAAATCTCTTATCATGTTTCAACTTTCCCCTCGGTCCGATTTTTTACCTCGTTTTCAATCCGATTTTTCTTCTTTAAAAGCGTTTTATCACATACTGCACTGTAGAATGGGATAAATTAACTGATTTAGTGATATTTTGAATTAATTTACCACTACAACGGTGAAAAATTATCAATTTTCAAATGCTGTTTGTAATTTCTTTATGACTGCGACCCACTTTTTTCAATAATAAATAGAAAATTATGAAGTAAACAATAAAAAATTAAAGTAAACGATTTTTTAAATCCCACCACAATGCAAAAAAGCGGCAAACGATAATTCTAATTTTGATTTTATCCAAAAATATTTCAGTGTACAAAACTTTTGTGAGATTAATATGTTTATAATTTTTTGATTATTAATCTCTTAAAAATAAAGTTTCGCTATATTTAAAAAATATTTCATGTAATTTTGTTAGGAATAGATTACAGATCTTATTATTAAAATCTCATTCAGAAAGTTTACTTTTAATTAATGGATAGAGCCCTATTTTAATGAAAATCATAAGTGTATGAGCACTTTTGGGAGCCACTGTATATATATAAAAAAATTAGACCAAATACTTGTAAAAGTTATGACCTTTTTTCAAAGCATGATTTGCTTTACTTTATTTGCCGTAAACAGTTCACTTACATTTTTGGTTCAGATATAATTTTCAAAAATTTACAGTGTTAACTAATATGCAGTCTGCACATTACTTTTATTTGGGGGGGGGATGTGCAAAATAAATACATACATAAGTTAACATAGTAATCCAATAAGCAAGTACATTTTGCAAAGCTCTTAATTCTTATAATTTTTCTGAGGTAATACGGCATTGATAATCCTATTTTTTTTTTGGTCACTGGTGATTTCTCTCCCCCAGACACACCCAGCTGCAGGATAGTTTTGAACTGATTTTCAGATCAAATATGACCATGTGCACTCAACCAATATCATCTCTAATTAAAGACCAAAAGTCTGATGCCACAGAAGATGGCTAGGTACTTTGAGGCACTGCTGGTGTCCTTGTCCCTTCTTTTCCTAATTTTATTTATTAAACTCCCACTTATTCCAAATATTGGTACCAGTGGCGTAGCAAGGGGGGGCAAGGGAGTGTATGATGCCCCGGATGCCGCTCTCAGAGGGGCACTAAATGGTCTCCCAAACAGGATTTTCCAGAAATTTAAGTTTTTATTTTGATCGACTTCTGGAAAATATATTTAAAATTAATAATCATTGTAATATAATTATTTATTTTCTTGATTTGTCTGATAAAATGTGTAATAAAAGGTTTGCAGTATATCAACCAAATATCTCCGCCTACAAAACGTTCTTTCTGACCACTTTATTTCTCTAAAATAGAGATATATCTTTTAGTTTTTTTTAAACGAAATGCACATATAGCTCCTGCTTTTTATTTTAAAATGATAACACAACCTTGTCCCGAATTTCTCAAGCATATAAAGTTTCCAAAAACAATTCCATAGTCTGGAAATGACATTTTTGGAATCTCCTAACACTTCTGCTACAATGGATTTCGTTTGACTCCCGTAAACGACTGATGGCCTTCCTGACTACCGATTCAACTAAGTCATCTTGCTGAGACATCGTATATTCACTGCTACAAAGCATTCAATGTGTGTCAATTGTTTTTAATCTCCTACTACAAAGGAATGCTGCAAGTCGCTCCTTACTCCTTATCTAATGTGCATAGTTTTGAACGTAGAAGACTAAATTTGCATATTTTGTAATGGTTATAATTTTCCTTTATAATCTCTTCTATTTCTTTTTGTTAAAATGGTTGTCCATTATATGGTTATTTCATACCAAACTCACAATATCCCCTAATTGTTTGAGTAGTGAATGTAACTACAAGATATTACTCAGCAGTAGAAAAAGAAATTGAACTTAAAACTCCATTACAGATCTATGGAGAAAATGTTTTTCCAAACTTAAGAGTTGCACTTCAAATACTCCTTACTATTTCATTATCTATGTACGTTCGTTCAGCAAATTAAAATAAATTTTGACTATTTACAATTAACGGTGGGACAAGATCCCCTAAGTCATCTAGCATTTTTAAATGTGGAAAGTGAAAAATTTGAAAGGATCGACTTTGATGTAGTAATTGATAAATTTCCTTCATCTTAGGCAAGAAAAATGTATACATAGTTATTAATTGTATTAATGTATAATAAATTATATTTATTAATAAATATATCTACTTATTTTTAATATATATAAAACTTTTAGTTGTTTAAAAATTGTACTTTTTTAAAAACAATTATATAAATATACAAAATAAATAATACCTTTTTAACTAATTCGAGATCATCGTATGTTTGATTTTTCAGCCGACACAGATACATTTCCGAATCCAAGGCTAGTGTAGTTAGATAGTGACTATTCTTAACATGTTTTAGAGTATTTTTATGGCAGATTCCGCATTTTGTTAATATTTGCATTATTTTCTTATTACGAATATATTCTATACACTATATTACTGCGTTTTTTTGGGGGGGGGGTGCGAAAAAGGTATTTTGATTCAGGCGACAGTTATGCTCGCTATGCCACTGATTGGTACATACTTACATTATTCTCTTAAATGTTAAATCACAAGTGATGTCTTTAGGAGATGAGTTTTTCCATCACATTGCATAATGAATGGAAATAAAAACAAATGGGAGTCAAATAAATTCTATAATTCTATTTTTCTCTCCTTAATGATTTTTCATATTAGATGATTTACAGAAGCTAAACTGCACTTTTGTCTCACAATGTATTTGAAAGAACTTATCTTTTTAATGATTTAAATTTTGTAGCAAGAGTTAAACGCATTTTTTCCCAGTGACATGATGCATTAAAATATTTACATGCAATTTCAGGTTCTATAAAGTTCTAAATTTTAAAATAAAACCTATTTTATAGTTATTTTTAAATATTTTATTTCAAACCAGATAGTTTTTATTTCAAATGGTAATGAAAATACTTTTTACATTTAAATAAAACACCACTTTAATGAAAAATACACATAATGAATTTGCAATTCAATGTTTAACAATTACGATATTATTAGCGTTTACTTTAGGTTATTCAATTACGGCAAAGCCTCAAGGGCTACCTGCCTAAGGGGCTGGTATTATTTATGATTAGAAATATAACAGTAACTTACTTTACTAAACAAATGGTTACAAAAATTATAATAAATGCACAAGAAACTGCTCTCTAAACGTTAAAAAATTATCAAGACATTTTATTTCAATAATTTCATCTGCAGCTTTTATTTACCTTTTACAGGTAACATAATTAAAACTAAGACTTAAAAATTTTCGGCATTTAAAGGTTTTAGCTTTAAATCTGAGATCAAGAAAGAGTGCTCCGCCTAACATAATATACACTCATAACAGAAATGAACGATCTGTATTCTTGATCCACGGTTTTATTTTGAATGTATAAATCTGCAAACCTTTCTTTATGCTACTGGATCTAAGTTTATACATTGCTCTTTTAATATTCGCTCAGTTAGATAAATATCTAGCAGCACAAACGAAAATAAATAACTTAATGTATTATGATTTTTAAACAGACACAAATAATAATTTTCAGTTCTTTTGTTCCCTACTGTATATAAAGATACAAAAGAAAATTACACAATACGTGTAAATAAATTTTAATATGATTAAAATATTCCTTTGAATACAATTTTACAGAGAGGTATTTAAAAAAAATTAACACATATAAAACGCCAAATAACAACTGAAGAAGAACAGGAATTATTTTACTACAATTTTATTTCATAAATTACTAAAGAAACTGTAACATTAATTAGCACCATATATATAAAAAAACAGTATAAAAATACCCTTTGTGCAAAAACTGCTCAAACTTAATCCAACATTTGAGTTGTTTCAGTTTTGTTCTTTGAATGGGATTTTGCTTCATTAAGCCTTTTTCAATACATAGGACATTCTTTATAAAAGTTACTGAGTAATTGCTTTCCCATATTGGATCAGATGAAATTATTTACTTTTTTCATCTTTTTCAGAAGAGTGAAGTTCTCACATATTCTTTGATCAGACTTGTCTGTGTCAAAAATCTACCTGCATGCCAGGATGTAAATAAAGAGGATTCTGCTTTAAAGATATTGTGAACATTATTCGAAAAACATGAAATAGATACAGCCATCTACTATCAACTGGGAATATCATTTATCAACAGCCATAGCTGGTACTACATGGAAAAACTGAACCTCAGTGCCTGCTGATTACAAAAATTTAGATATGAGGACAAATGCAAAAAAGGATGAGGACAAAGATGTTATATAAAGCATTACTAAGATGGTTCTCATGATCCTCCCCCAAAAAAATCTGCAAATACTTGAGCAAATGCTTCAGATAAAGGTATATGAGTTAGCTAGACATTTAGGAGGGACCACTTGGTTGCCAAATGGCTGGTTGGATACATTTGAGAAGCACAAAATTTCTTCAGGAAAAAGTTATTGAAGGATTGGATTATTCAATTATGGCAAAGCACACGAGGGCAAAGATCTGAGTAATGAAAATACTGCAATAAAATTTTAAATAAGAAACATTGATATAGAAGACTTTTTTTTTCTGCTAATAAAAATGGTAAGGAACACATGGAAAATGAACTCCCTCCACTATAGTGGATGCCAAGACTGCAAAGCACCATCTTTGCACATTTTTATTCATACAAATTGCAGAACAAAAACTATATTTTTATGTATTTAGATAAAAATACAAATAAAATTTTCCTGCAATCTACATCATGCCAGCAGAAAGTTAGATTATCTTTCTGCTCACATAAAGGTAAATTTGTAGATATTCTTTTGTTATAAATTTTTAGTGCTTTATAAAGATAAAATAGCTGCTTATGGTTATACGTGTGTATCTCAAGGAGAGGATCAGAACAATGACATTCATGCTAAGTAAATAATTTTGTAAATTTACTGCTCTTTAAATAAACTTAGATGTGAAACTAGAACAGTTTTATGTAATAATAATTGTAATTAAACCTTATTTCCTTAATATTAGATTTCCCATTCACTTCTTCAGGTAAATGTTATTATAATAATCTTTTTTTTTTCCTTTGTGATTCATCATTAAATTTTTATACATAACATTATAAGGTATTTCTCCCATCCTTCTTAGCATGCCTTTGTTGTGTAGTGGTCAGCACGCTTGACGTGAATTCGAGAGATTCGTGGTTTGAGTCACGGCGAGGGCATTGCTCATTTTTCATATCTCCTGCTTTAAAATAACCTAATGTGTCTACAATATAATCCATTTTTTTCTCAGATCAGATATAGCAAACCATACTTTTGGTCCCCTTGAAATTCATTATGGAGGGGTTCTACTATACAAACTGAAAGAAATGACCCAATAATTACCTGCATATAGCTCCAACTTTCAATTTGCATGCACTGTCACAACAAGGATCATTGTCCTCACTTCCAATGAATCCAGCATCACATTCTTCACCCTCTTCAACAAGTGAATTACCACAAAATGATTCTTCTGGTTCTACATTAAATGAAAACAATGAAAACTGCTATTCACATTTAATTTCTGAATGTACAGATACAGCTATATCACAAGACTTTACAAGTACTTTCATTATTTATCAGAATACACTTCACTTAGTTTTGTCTTTTAAATGATCGGGTATGCAGAGCATACTAATTTGGGCATATTTAATTTGCAGACATATATAATCTGAAACTTCAAAACAGATTAAACTAAATGCCTTCTATCAGACAAAATTGACTAAAAACTACTATTAACTTTTCTCTAAAGCCTTACTGAAAGGATTCCTTTACATTTCTTTCTTGATAAAATAATATTGAATATTACCACAAAATATGAAAATAATGTCTTAAATGCCTGCTGAGTTCTTGAATTCAAAGGAATTTTTCCTCTTTTTATGAGTCATTTAGCCTGCTCACGGAATTACTTAACAATATAAACAGGAAAATTCGAATTTTTTCCATGCCTATTTTTCACTCAAGTGTTGATATGAATTTCATTTTAAAATATCATGTACATAAAACATAGTTTTCATAAGTAATGCAAAAAAATTAATTTTGCTCCTTTTGTTAAATACACATATGCATATCCACCTAGAATTTTTATCATATTTTAAAAGGCATACTTTATTGAGTCTTGTTAACTCATTTTCGATTCTGCAAAACCTTTCCTTATCCTTTTCAACTTTCGTTTACTTAAGTTTGACTACATTCAAATTCTAAAACATTAATATGAACACATTGTGAAATCACCTTTTATAAGTCTTTGTGTATTCAAAATACTCAGTGCCAAAACGGAAATAAATTACCATGTTAAGTCTTCAGAAAGTGATTTATAACAAAAGGTATGCAAACACCATTATACATCCATATATCAATTTTACTTCAAAAATTTCATTCCTCGTCAAACTTTCTGCACATTAGTTATCACACTATCAAAAACAGAATTTCCCTTTATTTTGTGATACATCAGAGGCACCATAATATTATCAAAATATGTTACACTTTTAATAGAAGATTAACTACTAGTTCTCAATGCTTCCTTCTATTTATTGTGAATTCTCAAGATGAATCTATAGAGTTAATGAAGGAGCTGCAAAATACTCAATATCAGACTTACAATCTGAAAGCTTTTATTCCTGATCAAGATACAAGCAAAAAGCAAAGTGATACATACAAGCAAATCAATCTCTATACTTATTACGTGGTTCAATGGAAAAAAGAAATTACGAAAAAAAAAAAAAAAAAGATGGGTTAAATTTCATAAATTATAGGTTATTGAATTTGAAAATGACATTGAAATTTACAAATTAGCTCTAGCTTTCATATTGTTATGGTTTTTGCATTGATTTAGCCATTTTTAAATAGAATTAATTATAACTGTTTTATATTCCCATGCAATGCAGCATGAGACTTATTTTAAGAGAAAGCTAAGATGGAAAATTAAAAATACAAGAGCACTTGCATTTAACATTTAATAAATAAATATCTTTTTATTGATATTTAATTTGAATAAATGTTAATTGACTAGCCGTAACAGTAATTCTACTCTTTTTTGCTTTCGAGGAATTGCTAGAACAATCGCGTGCAGCTGATTTAAAAAGCTATAAAAACCAGAGAGAGAACATCTCAGCCGAGTTCTTTTAGAAAACTGTTGTTGTTTACTGTAGTGAATTCGTGGCGAGATTGGATTAGCTTTCACTATGTTTTTCTGTTTTGAATTAAGTTCTGTTGAACGCTTCAGTAGTTTAAAAGATAACTATTGCGAGATATTTCAATATTGCACGAATAGCTGAGGAAATTTAAGCATTTGTTTTATTTGTTGTGTAAATTTTATTCACTTTTCCATTGGACTTGTGCATTTGATTTATTATAAACCCGTTCGCACGCAACACTTTGGTGTCAGGAGTGGGCTTTTGAATATTAATTACAAGAGTGATGGAAGAACAATTCAGGCATTTGATGACTGCATTTGCTGCTTTCCAAGAAAAGATAGAAGGGGACGTCAACTCTGTTAAAGAGGAGATGAAAAGGGGCCAAGAATCTGTTAAGGACGAGATGAAAGCTGTTCAAGCAGGTCAAGAAGAAGTGAAAAAGGAAATTACTTGCTTAATAGAAAACAAATCTGAGGCTGTGGAAGGCTGAACAGATGCGGTTGAAAATAAAGTTGGACAAATTAAAGAAAGAGTTTCTTTGGTAAAAGGACAAATAGAAGAAAGAGTTTCTTCTATCAAAGGACAAATAGAAGAGAGGGTTTCTGCTGTGGAACAACGAATCAAAGGAAGGGTTTTTACCATCCAACACTAAATCGAATAATAAATTGATGATAGGGTTTCAGCAGTTGCGAAAGAAGTTCGCAGCGACGGCAGGGAGCAATTCTGATGGTTTCAAATTTTTACCTATGCCTGCTCGCCTCTCTCTGAAGCTGTCCACTTATAATGGGAAGACCTCCTGGCAAGTATATAAGGCACAATTCTCTATAGTGGTGGAAGCAAATGGATGGAATTCCCAAGCTAAGGCCTGTCATCTCGCCACTTCTTTGAGAACAGATGCTGCGGATATCCTTTAGACTCTTCCAGAAAACCAAAGGATAGATTTTGAAGCTTTATCCGGTGCTTTGGAGCTGTGCTTCAGCGAAAAATGTTTGAAAGACTACAGTCGGCTTCAATTAAAATTGCGTCAACAGAAGACCACAGAAACGCTCCAGGAACTTGCCACGAACATTGAAAGGCTTCACCTCACCTTTAGAGCGCCCATGAGAAACAAGGGAAATCCTGTCTCTGCAGTACTTTATCGCTGGCGTTCGAGATCCCGAATACAGAAGGCTCTATGAATAACGGATGTCAAGGACTTGACAGAGGTTGCCAGATAATGAAAAGCCACAGTTTAAAAAGCTTCAGATATTTGCAGTGAGTGACAGCAGTAACAGACTTTTCATAATGGAACATACCAATGGAGTTCCTTGTAATACGACCACTGACACAGGAGTTAATGTTACCATCATTCGAAAAGATTTGGCTCAACAACTAAAAGGTAATCTCATCTGGACGACGCCCTGCATTACTCTCCAGACCAAGTCCAGGGATAAAATCGACATTGATGGAAAATTAAACGTTAACATCATGTTTGCAAGTGCCGCCTATCATCATACAGCATATGTAGCAGAGATTACAAATCCTTGCATACTCGGATTGGACTATCTAAGGATATAAATTTTTCCTTGGACTTTAAAAATTACAAACTGCATTCTGCCTCTGAGGACATAACCTTATTCGGAATTAATGACAAAAGAGTGAAATCTATCCACAAAATCATAGTTCAAGACAATATTACAATACCCACAAGAACAGAATTTTTACTTCCTGGATCGCTAGCCAAAAATAGAAATTTCCACTACGGCATCATAGAATATCCCAAGAACTGTAACAGCCCAAATGAAGTACTAGTAGCCTCAGCACACATCGACCTATCACAAATTGTTATCCCAGTGAGAGTTGCCAATGTAACTGAAAAGGCGAGAATTATTAAGAAAAGTGAAGTGGTGGCAGCATGTACTCCAGTGACCAGCATTAAATGACACAATATCACTCCAGAATCCCTGTCTTCAGAGACCATTACATCCGAGTTATTGCAGAATCTGCAATTAAACAATGAAGAGAGGAATGCTGCTGATTGTGTCATTCAAGATCTTCAAATTGTTTTCTCCCGCTCGTCTTTTGATGTGGGTCGAACCAGTTTGATGCGATATAGAATCGATACTGGTGATCATTCACCAATCAAGTAACATCCAAGATTTCTACCGATTGCTAAACAGGAAGAGGTACGAACACTTTTAAAGGATATGGAAGAAGGTGATATCATCGAGCATTCAGCAAGACCATGGGCATCTCTCATCGTCCTCCTCAGAATGAAAGACGGCTAAATGAGTCGACTATCGCCGGCTGAATGAGGTTACGAAGAAAGACAGTTACCCTCTTCCTAGTATTGACGACATTCTGAACATGCTTTCTGGAAGCAAGTATTTATCAATACTTGATTTAAAAAGTGGGTATTTGCAGGTAGAAATACATCCTGATGACCAAGAAAAAACGGCATTTACTACGGGACAAGGACTTTGACAGTTCAAGGTGATGCCGTTTGGACTGTGTAATGTGCCGGTAACATCTCATGGAAACTGTTTCGAAAGGTCTTTCCTACAAAGCCTATCTGGATGACAACATTACCATCGGGAAGAGTTTCGAAGAACATCTAAAAAATCTTAGAAAGGTGCTTCAAAAACTAAAGGAAGCAAATCTAAAGTTGAGTCCGGCTAAATGAAAATTATTCAGACAGGATTGAATACAAGGTAAGAAAAGGTCGACCGAGAAAGTTAACTAAACGTAATGAGTGACTTATTATTAGAAAATTTGTGAAAAACCCTACATTTGAGTGCTGTAAAAGTTTCTGCAGAACTCAATGCAAAATTTTCTACTTTAATTTCACCTGAAACTATTCAATGAGTTCTCAGAGGAGCTGGATTACATGGGCGTTCCGCCCGTAAAAAGTGAAAAAAAACAGAAAAGCTTTCATTAGCAAAATCAATGTGTATGGCAATTTGGCATTTATTGATGGCATAATGAATCATGCTCTTTATTTAAATATTTTAAGAGACAATTTAAAATTATCAGCCCAAAATTTGGCTATTGGAAACAACTTTATTTTTAATCATGATAACGATCCCAAGCACATGGCTCTGAACGTTCTCCCCTGGTGTCTCTATAATTGTCCACAGGTTTTGAATACACCATCTCAGTCACCAGATTTAAACCCCATAGAACACATTTGGAAAGAACTGGGGGTTAAAGTACAAAAACACGACATCAAAACGAAAAGCGAACTCAAAATAGTCATGATGGAAGAATGGATGAACATTGATACAGAAATTACAAAAAAACTAGTAAAATCTATTGCCATACGTTTAAAAGCTGTTGTGGATGCTTAAGGATATCCTACTAAATATTAATTTAACGAAAAATGAAAATTTTACTAATATGTCAAGATTTTTTTGAAGTGTACGAAGACTTTTGTGAGATAAAATGTTTTGTCATTTTTTGATTATTAATTTCTTAAAAATAAAGTTTCGTTATATTTTAAAAATATTTCATGTAATTTTGTTACAAATAGATTATAGATCTTATTATTAAAATCTCATTCAGAAAGTTTACCTTTAATTAATGAGAGTCGTATTTCAATGAAAATCATAAGTGTACGAACACTTTTGGGAGCCACTGCCCGCATTTCTTCAATTAAATGGACTTCTATTTCCACCGTCCAGGATCTTACAGTTGCAGCCATTGCCATATTGAAAATTACACGTGATCCTCCAGAAGCAGAACTTTCATCTGATTGTTTTATCTCTATGTGGAACAGAACTGCAAATGAAACATTTTCGGCAAAGTTTCAAAATTTTCCTCATTGCCGCAACATTGCTTTCCTGACTACGGAACATCGCCTCCACTGGTGCTGGTTTTTCTTGGAATCATCCCATTTAAATCAATGCTAACAGAATCTCATTTCTTGGAAATGCCCTGCATAGGCATACGTGTCACTAGATGTAACAGGGGTTTTAAATTTCAGTTGCTATTAAGGAATATCTGATAGGACTCCAGACTAATCTGAAAGAATATTTTCTTCCAATTCATAGCAACAAAGCATGCATAATAAACCTTTTCATAATTAATACAGAATCAGAGGTGCAATTACTGGATTCAGATACTGAACCCATAATTGAATTGCCTTGTGATACAATGCTTTGACAAGATTCCATCGATAGATGTTTGGCTATCCTCTCATCAAAAGGATAAAATTTTCTGTTAGCACAAAAGGCAATTAAATTAAGTTTCTAATGCCTTTTGTTTGTCAGTTCTAGTTAGCAAGAAACAACATCACATTTGCCATCAGAACATTTTTATTCTTTTACATTTTTTAATGCATTTTTGTTACATTAAAATTTTTTGACAACAGGTCACAAAAGGAAAAGTTTGGGAAACCTTGGGCATAATTTGAATAATTTCTGAATATTTCTTAATTACCACCAGCATTTACAGTGGATGGACAAAAATATGGAAACACCTTGTGAAATGCATGTTTGAAAAGACAGATTGATTTTAATGAAATATGTAGGTGGCGCTGGCGTTTTTGACTACTGACGCCACCTATACAACTTCGTAAATGTGCTAAACAGTTCAGTTGTTGTCGGAGTACTGTTACGTGAGGTTGTCACTGCATTATGTCAGAGTTAACAGACTTCGAACGTGGGCAAATTGTTGGAGCACGTATGGTAGGTGCTTCCGTAAGCAAGGTAGCTGAGGTGTTTAGTGTTTCAAGAGGTACTGTATCGAAGATTTATTCCGCATATTTGAAAAGCGGAAAAACATCATCTGCTAAATCACAGCACGGACGAAAGTGTGTCCTGAGTGATCGTGACAGACGATAATTAAGGGCATTTGTGACGAAAAATAAGAAGACCACAGCTGCAAAAGTTTACTGCTGAAATGAATGTTGTGTTACCGAAACCTGTGAGTACCAAAAACAATTAGAAGGGAGCTTCATAAAACAGGGAATTGCTGGCCGTGCTGCAATTGAGAAGCCACTCATCAGTGATGCTAATGCCTGTAACAGGAAAAGGTGGTGTTTAAGTCATAAAGCCTGGACTATAGAGCAGTGGAAGCGAGTAATATGGTCTGACGAGTCTTCCTTCACATTGTTTCCCACTTCTGGCCGAGTTTACGTCTGGAGAACGCCATCTCAAGCCTATAATACAGACTGCTTGTTGCCAAGAGTGAAACATGGCGGGAGTTCTGTTATGGTTTGGGCAGCCATATCATGGTTCTCTGCTAGCCCCATGATAACTGTGTGAGGGCGCATGAGTGCCAAGACTTATGTGAACATTTTGGCCGATCAAGTTCATCCCATGGTACAAACTTTGTTCCCCGATGGTGATGGTGTCTTCCAAGACGACAAAGCCCCTGTTCACACAGCTCACATTGTCCAGGACTGGTTTTCTGAGCACGAGGATGGGTTGTCCCATCTCCCCTGGCCACCACAGTCACCAGACCTGAATATTATCGAGCCTTTGTGGTCTACAATGGAACGGAAAGTGCGTTCTCGTTGTCCACTGCCAACATCGTTATCTGAACTTGCCACTGTTTTGCAGGAAGAATGGTATAATATTCCCTTGGCAAACATACAGGAACTGTATTTATCCATTCCGAGAAGACTGCAAGCTGTTTTGGATGCCAACGGGTTTCCTACACCATATTAAGCAAAGAAACATGTTTTTTTAAAGGTGTTTCCATATTTTTGTCCAACCCCGGTATTTTTTTCTTACAAAAGTAAAGGACTTAACAAGATTTTTTTAAAATTATGTGACTGAAATTTTGAAAAAAAAAAAAAAAAAAAAAAATAACTCTTTTGAAACTCTTATGCTTTTTATTCTTAGGTACTTGCTTTGTTTATCACTGTTTATTCACTCACAAATTAACCCTTCAGATGTAATTTAAGTGCTCACTTTTTAGAACTAAAATGCAGGAGCTCAAAATTTAAGTAATGACAAATATTATTGGCGATTACAAAAAAAAATTAAAAGATAACCTTAAAGCATTTTCTAGATATATAGAACAACTTAAGATTCTTCTTTTAAAGATTCATATCAGCATATAAAATTGCAATTGTTTTCTGTGTGATTTTTCTTTAAGTTTTCAAGTCATTTATCAAAGCACAATTCTCAAGGACTGTCTGCCTAAGACATTTTCTGAAGCATCAAATGAAAATGCTGGTGCATCTTTTCATAGAAGTTTTGCCTTTATGAAACTTTTTTACCTAAGTCATGACAATAAATCAATAATAAAAGATAAATTATTTATCCTTTTCTGAGGTCAAATGTTTTATTTGGAAACTTCAGAAATACTTCGCTGGCTTATGTATGCCTGCAAACCATTATTACTTTATTATAATTTAAATAAAATATTCAAGACTTAAAAAAAAAAAAAAAAGCTAAAAATGGGCATTTAATGAAGTAACTTACTTGAGAAGCACTTGCTAGCTTTCTCCAGTAAAACGGCACGAACAGAACGAATACTACAAGGGTGAAAATTTCTGCAAAACAAAATTAATTCTTATTTCGCTATTTTAAGCATGAATTTAGAATGTGATCAAAATACTCAGGCATTAAGCCCATACCTTATTGTTTGGATCGTACCCACTGACAGAATATGTATACATCAAAAAGGAACCACCATGTCTTCCATCTGGAGAGCATTCTGGTAAATCTGGATCATGTTCACTACCCCAGTTATGACCTATGAACCAAAATAAACAATTAAGATATTTGTGTCATGCAATGATTTCAAATATATGTCCCCACTTAGCACTCTTTAAGTATTGGTTTTTAAAACCAGTTCTGTAGTTTTATATACTCTGCTACTTTGAATTTTGGCATGGCTCATTTTATATTCAAATGAATTGTTGAAGAATAACAGTTCCAAAGAATTAAAATATGAAAACTAATAAATTTTTAACAGTTCTAAATAAAATACAATTACAATCTGAAGTGTGTTAATACCTGAGTAAAATAACTTCACTAAATGTTTGAGTTCATAAAGATATAAATTAAACTCTGCATGCATAGAATAGTGTTTAGAAAGCATCTCAGAAAAGCCTGTGGCATGCAAAATTCAGAAAATACTATTAATTGAATAAGAAATATTTAAAACAAAAAATGCATCAGTTGTAAATTAGTAGTGTACATTACATCACAGGCTTTGACTGACACCTTTCTTTTAACTTGCTTAGCACCAAATGCATGATTTCCCCTGCATCTCCAAACAATATAATGTCTATATTACCAAAGCCTTTATAGAGTTTTCATGCGCAACAAATCAGATAATTTTCATATATATATATGCGTGTGTGTATGTGTGTGTGATAAAAACAAACTTAGTAATGACGAGCAGAAGTCTTGATGGCATAGAAGAGTTGATCCATAATGAATAGAAAATTGGAGGCGAAGGCAGTTTAAATCATCATTTTTTTATTTCAGCAAATATGTTGTGTCCACAATCAAGTTAGCACATTAATTGTGCTTGTACCAAAAAGTTTTACATTTTAGATAAATTTGCAGTAAGATAGAAGAAGCACACATACAGAAGTTCAGCTAGGCCAAAGCATAGAAAGCAAGGCCGTTATGTTCAGGATGAAATCTTTATGCACATTGAGTTCGTTTTGGTACTCACTGCATTTTGATTGGATAGTTAATATAGCTGTAAAATTACTATTGGCTGCTTGAGTTTTAGTTCTAACACTAGGATTATGTATGTGTCATATGGCATAGATTAATCTAGAAATGATGCAGTGCAGAGAGATGTTACTATTTTTAGAATTGAGAAGGGAAATTTATGTTACTAATATAATTTTTTTCATATTCTTTATTTTTCTTACATATCCTCCCTTCAAGGAGAAAAAAGCGTAGTGACAAAGAAGCCTTTCTAAAGGAAAAGCGTTAAAGCCCCAGAAATGAAGAAAAATGTAAATCATGAAATTTTGATCAGCAATAATTAAGTATATAATAGTAAAGTATAATTTATAAATATCAATTTTTAAAAATAAATTTTATTTTTAGAGCCCTATTGAATTTTTCATTTCCGTCCGAAAGTTGTTTGTTTAAGAGTTCACATAATCATAATTCTTCAGGGAAGGTTCTTGTTATCACAGAATATCACAAATAAAACCTTTTAGATAATCCTTACTAATAATTACATGTAACATAATAAATATTGATGATACTTATTTCCATAAAGATAAATTGCATTTTAACACTATAAATATAATAGGAGTAACATTTTGAGAAATTATGGAGTCACCATTATTATTTGTCATTTGTAATTTCTGATTTTACCAAACTGAAGGCCTCGCAGTATTTCGAAACAAATATATCCTTCTGTTAGGCATGTTACATATAAAGGCCTTTGTTCCTTACATAAGGTTACTAGCCTTTGAGAACTGCACTAATACATTCCCTAATAAAAAAAGTATAATAATATAAATCTGCTGTTCAAAACTTACTATGGAACCATCTTCATTGATAAAAGTGCTGTGGACTTATTTTTATATTGTGGACTTAATGGCATCAAGAGATTTAAAAAAAAACATTTCATTGGAAGGGACTTTAAAACAAAAATTTAACTTTTCAATGAACATTTTGAGGAAAATTGAGGACTTTTATGATTAGAATTTATTATTTAATATTATTGCATATATTATTATCTTATATAGGGTGTGGCAGCATTCATAGTAGGATATTAAAAAGCACACCATAAGGCAGTAACTATAGTTTATTTATTACCTCTTATGTCAATTAATAGTTAAAGGTATGCCATTTACTAATGTGTAAGTCATTGTCCATTGCATGGATTACTTTTTGAATATGATGCCCCCTCTGCACAAGACATTCATCTAGGCAGCGTTGGAAGCTTGCCGTAACTCGCACGTAATGTATTCCCTGGGACATTGCCGACGGCAGTTCAGATGCGATCCTTCAACTCAGGAATGGTGGCACAACGTGTTCGGAAAACTTCTTGCTTCAGGTGCCCCCAAAGTCAGCACATGAAAAGATCAGGTAAGCGAGGCGGCCAGGAAATGTCACCAACACGGGAAATTAATCTACCTGGAAATGTCTGTCGCAATGGTCTGTCCATCTGGAACTTTCCCATAACATCTTAAGTTGAAATGTTGCCGAAATAGACGCTGGGTAGCAATAACAGAGTAGTTATTCTCGAAATAACTTTCAACACCAAAGGCATGATGCATATCACTGCCACACTCGAACTGGCAGCTCATTAGTACATGAATGCGGCACGAGCTGGCACGCATTCATGCAGTACATCATTGTGCTATGAACGCTGCCACACCCTGTAGTTCTAAATTGGATGTTTACTTATAAATCATATGTTATTCATGCATCATAGGTTCCAAGGTAACAATTACACAATAAGCATTTTCTAATTATATGAGAAAGATCATAAGTTATGATAAGGCATAGCTAAAGCTTGTAAGCTATGTCCTGGATGTTTTTCTTCATGTCATTCCTCATACTCTAAAATTTTTCTTGCTTCACTGATGTACTAATGCTTTGCTCTTCCAGCCTTTCGTTTTGAGGGGGGGGATGTGAAATATAAAAAATACAATGATTTTACTCTATGCAAACAGGCAACCTCTAATTAACATTCCATAATTTCAGGACCTTCCCCTAGGCCAGTACTTTCAAGAACATTCTGGCATGTTATGTAATCACTACTATAAATGCAGAGTTCGTGCCATTTTTCATCAGAATGCTCCCTGCCCTAACTGCTATAAGAACCTTCGCTGCTCTGTCTCTTCTTCCCTTTGTTAGTATATGATGTTGAAAGTCTAAATTTAACCTTATTTTAATTTAAATCATTATTGTATATGTAATTTTGAAGAATTTAAAAGAAGAGTGATCTGCCTTTTCAAGTGAATAAAGATATGGAGTTTTTAAAAGTGAAATTCTTCTGTCTTTAATTTGGCTGCCTTCCACTTCGCAACGACCACAGCCAGACTCTGATGTGCTAGACAGCTAAGCTTCATCATTTGGAATGCCTATCTACTGCAAATATTGCATATATATAATAAATTAAAATTCATACATATATATATATATATATATATATAATAAATCAAGCTATCACTTTGTTCCTGAGCTGTTAAAATGTTATAAATTTCATGTTTCCTAAATTGTAAAGTTCTAGGACAGACAAAGCATAAGGTTTCACCACAAACGGAAAGTATCTCAAAAAATCTCTGTTTATAAACTGATATTAAAGCTATTAGAAGAAAGAAAATTTGTGAGTAGGAGCAAAGACCATGAAGAAATCTCATAGTAGTGAACAAAGATTATATACCAAGTACAAAACAATAAAAGTGAAATGTTTTTAAAGCAACTACAATCAAAACGTTGAAATTCACAAAGCAGTATGCAAGAATTACGAAAAATTTAGAAAAGAATGTTATTTATAGCAGAATTAAGATCTTGCTTAAAAAAGTGGGAACAGAAGGGGGAAGATTGGAGAAAATATTGCCTCATGTTTTACCCAGAAAATATTGTATAAATTGTAAATCACCAAACAGCCTCTGTTATGATTTGAAGCAATGCCTAGAACTCAGAGATTAGCTTATGCTGATATCAAAATAAATATGGATTGTGCCATGATTACCTTTCATGAGCACTGTACAAAATTTTGTTTTGGGGGCCTATTTAGTGTGAGAATAATACAACATACACAACACTTAACAATTGCTCAATATATTTATGCCGACATAAGAATCACAGAAAATTATCCCCTTTCACATAAATAAATACTTACAATTATTTAGTGCACTTCTTAAAATTAAATTTAGAAACATTCATTGATTTATCAGAATTCTAATAATATTGCACTCAACCATATACTAGAATTATATTTCTAATAATATTATACACAACAGAAATTATGAAAAGACTGGATAATTATTGTCATCTTATGCAATTATTGCGACACACTTTACTGGTATCAAAGACACAAATTGCATGGCAAAGTACACAGGGAAAATTGAAATTTTGAAAGAATATTTTTTTTTTAACTTTTCGGGACCCTGGGGCCCACACAATCCTGGGCTCTTTGTCTACATAACTCATTAGTTTGGTCCCTAAATACAGATATTCAATATCCTAAAAACTAATTTATAGCTTACTGTAATGTACTCCAGAGTTTCAGAGCTTCAGAATGGAAAATCATGAAGCAATTTTTTTTCACCATTATAATTGCTTTCAAGAATAACACAGACTAACAAAGGTAGGATTTTAATGAAAGAATTCTTGAAATAATTATTACAATGAAACAGAGCTTAGAATCAGCACAATTGGAAGCATGAAAGCTTACTTCCAAGACAAAAACAGCCAGGAATACAAAAATTATAATTTGTTTAATGTTTTTGCTTTCTACTATGTAATTATTTTTGACCATTTCGTGTATGGATGTTTTGATATTTCTTTTATTTTACAGAAGGCTGGCTGATTAGTTATACGTTACAACCACTTGAAGGCCAGCTGTTCAAGGGGGATACCTTCATTACGATTACAGAATTATTCTTCAATTTAAATTACAGAAAGGGGGGGAGTTATGAAATTTTAAACATATAGACAGTTAACTCACTGGCAACTGACCACTCAGCTATTGGGAGCCCAGCTTTCAATAAGCAAATAACAACCCTTTTTACATAGTATTATAATAATGTAATAGAGAACAATTCCTAATTCTTAATTTTGCTACATTCATAACAAGTAAGTTATATACAATACATATGCTCCAATTAAATTTTACATGCTTTTCCATTAACATATTTTGCTATTTCATATAATTTCAGAAATCAAAATACACACACACACACACACACACATACAATATATTAAATATGTATCTTCCATGATTATATTTCAAACTCTAACCTGCAAAATAGAAATAAAACATAATTTGAACTAAATAAATATTTCAATATTAATGGAAATATCTGCAATAACTCTGCAGAAATTCTTCAATTTGCTGATGGCAGTGACATAAGGAAAAAAAAAATCCATACAGATCTAAAAAATATATTTTTTGGCATTGGAGGGAGAGGTGTGCACAACAATGAAACAGAAAAAACTAAACGTACCTACGTCATGCATTTGATAGCTATCTAAAAATAGGTTCTCCCAAATTCAAAAAAGTTAACCACTACAGATAAATACTTTCTAAAGCAGTGTAGTATTGTTTCATCCATTTGAAAAATAATAAAAACTTTAGGGCATTACTTTAACAGCAAAGTTTTCCTCAAGATTTCATCCATTTAAAAATAATAAAAACTTTAGGGCATTACTTTAACAGCAAAGTTTTCCTCAAGATACTCAGATCAAATATCTGAGGGTTAGCTTTGATAAAAAGTTAATTTTTAAATTTCACATCAATCAAGCAGAAGACACTGCTCATGCTGCAATTATGAGCATATACTCAAGCCTACAAAATGAAATGAAAAGACTTGCATTTTCAGTTAATCAGGACTATTGTATACATTTTCTGCCTGGGTGGCAAATGCCAAGACTAACAGAAAGCTTCCATAAATCCTTTAAAAGAAGGCATTAAAATTATTCTTAACATTTCTTGGTTTTCAAGAAATTGTATTACATGTTAGACTTGAATATTAAGTTAAGTCATAAACATAATTTCATCAAAAACAAAAGAAGCCTCATGGAAAACAACTGAAGCTGTAAAAACATTCCAGTAGAAAAATAGGAGTTCAGCTAGATCAAATTTTCAAGAGACATGGACAACTTATTTGGCACAGCTTATTAGGAGGATCCCAGAGTATCCTCATGGATCTTCCTGTTAAGTACAGTTGAATTCTCTTTACATGTAGGATTTTTGTTTTCTCTTGTAGACAGAACCTGATTATTATGATTGCTTTGGGCAAGTCTATAAATTGCAGTATCCAAAGAAGCAAGAGCCAGTCAGCAGATATAAAGACAAATACCAAATTTTTAAACAGAAGTATGAAAAGAAACAATTTGCTGGAATTGAAAGTATCATGTTAATTTCCTCCAGAAATGAAAAACAGTAGAAATAACAAAAATGTTCTTGAAAGGTACACCATACAACAATTAAAAAAAATAATGACTAACGTCTCAAACAGGAGGAGGGGAAATCATAATTTGAAGAAAATATTTTAAACTTAAATCAATTATGTAACTGTTTCTATTAGGTAAAGAAAACTGATTTATATGCATTATATTGCTGTTTAAAAAAAACTTCTTCAGTTACCTAGAAATCATTCATTGTAGCCCAAAAAATTAAGTGGTAAAGTTTCAGAATAAATCAAGGTAATAACACTTGTACAGACGGAATTTCACCAATGAGTGTAAAAAGCAATGTCACTCACAGCATTAATCTTATTGCAGTCAGTTATAGGAATAAAAATTTCTGAAGGAATAATAAAAATATGTTAACTCTCCCTATCTTATCTTAATAAAACCAAAGATAAAAAACATTTTAATGTTTACTTACCAAATTCTGCAACAGCATTATGCATGATGGGAAGAAAAGAAAAATATGAGACCTAAAAGACATTATACACATTTAAAATGTTCTAATGCCCTGAATTAGCAGGGTAACACTGATTTAAAAAAAAAAAAAAGAAAAGAAAAAACTTTGTTTTATGACACAAATAGATGTTTATAAATTTGCAAATATAGGCACATGAAAGAACATTCCAATACTCTGAAAAGAATATTCACCATGTGCTGTGACTAAATCTGCTTCCCTTGTTATAACTCTTTGCCCATAATGGTTCCTGGATGTACTCAAACCAGAATTCAGATAGAGTGTATACCCATTTTTCACATAACCTGGAAGAAAGTTATATGCTGAAAGTTTAAAAAAGTTTTCATAATTAAAATAAATACATATTAAAAAACTGTTTATTCAATCTTTCTTTTCTTTCTTTCTTTTTTTTTTGCTTTTTCTTTTTTTTTTTTTTTTTACCAAGAATGGTCAATCTGCCTAGGGAGTTAGTCAATGGAAAGATTTTCTAATGAAATATAACTTGTATAGCTTACTCATAGATTATGTACAGATTACTTATTATTAAAAATAATAAAATGGTCACTAAAACTGTTAACAGAATTAAATTAATAACATCAAAGTGCCAAGATTTCAAAAACTTTTAAAACCTATCTTCTCTTAAAATAAAATCAATAAGTCTTATTTGACTACATGAAATCTTTCCAGAACTCGATATCAAATCCTTAACTTTGAAAACTGGATTATGTACCTCAAATACTCATTTTCAATAATTTCATTAAATATGAAAAGAAAACAGATTAATGGATAAAATGAAAAAATGAAAAATTTACTTTCAGATGCACAGCTGACATAACCACTTTCAATAAGTTTGTGCTATTATTTATCTAAAATGTCTCATTTAAAACAACCCAGACAGCATGCCTCTAAAAATATATGTATAATTTTGGTGAAAAAGAGTATTTTTTGCACACTGTCTTTACGAAAACTATATGAATAAAAAAGCTGAAGATACTATCAGCACTTTATCATATTTTCTATGTTTTTTACAAATATTACGCAAATTCTAAAAACTTTGAAAAATATTATGACTTTAAAATATCTAATGAATGCTTTCCATTTAACTTTTATTATTCTTTTTTCTTCAGCCAGTATAGCGGTTAATGACCCTGACTCCATAGCGATGGGTCTGGGTTCGAATCCCGGAGAAGGCATGGTTGTAATTGTCCATCCCCTTAATAGGAGGCAACGATGGCCACCAATTAGGGGCTTCCATAATGAAATGGCCACCACTTCTGGCCCTTGTAGTGGCGCAAGCTTGTAGTAGCTAATGGCTATTAAATAAAGTGTCTGGCCATTATATATATATTTAAAAAAAAGCACTTTTTTCTCAGAATTTCAATGTCATACTGTATTTATTTCAAAAGAAGTTTAAAGTTTTATTTTAATGTTTTAATAATGATTCTGCAAAACTGATAAATTAATCTTGATATATTACATATATGTAAATCACTTAACAATCACAGCGTTAAAATTTTTCAATGTTTTTTTAATACACAGAGTTGCGTCTGCATCTCAATACTTGTGTCTGCACATGCACCTTGAGCTCTTGGGGGTGAGTGAGTGAGTGATTATGGCGCAAAAACCAGGGATGATTATAATGAGCCAAACACAAGATGGGATGATTACAATTGATGACATTAAAATTCAATAAATAAAAACAAGTAGATAAATGTACCAAATCCAGAGGATGAAGTCATATAAACACAAGTTAAAAGCACACATTAAAATTCAAGACACAGTCTTCAAAACAAATTACATTAGGTAATAAAAGCCAGTCTCTTTTAAATAATAAAATAAATTACAATTGACCTCTCTTCCGATTAAACGGTCGAGAGGTAAGTCACAGCTATTAAAATATTTCTGGCGAAGACTATTAAAACATGGACACTCAATTAAAATATGACGAACAGATAAACAAACATTACAATTAAAACAAACAGGCTCATTTTCAGCTTTGAGAAGATAGTTATGTGTGACTCTAGTGTGACCAATTCTGAGGCGAGTCAAAAGAACGTCCTCCTTACGATTTCCAGCAAAATCCAATGCTCAATTCTAGGCTTTGACGTTTCTCAACTTGTTGTGATGCTGAACATCCCAAAATTTGCTGCCATTTTTTTCGGATCTTTCCCTTGATGACACAGCAGATGTCTCTAAAAGGGATAAGGCGACTGGACAGTTCAACAGCAGATTTTGCTGCGATGTCTGCAAGCTCATTTCCCTTTATTCCCGTATGTCCAGGGAACCCAGCAGTACAGGATTTCATATCCTCGAATCGTTAAATTTATATGAATTTTGAGAACATCCACTACCACAGGATTCTGAGTGTTGGGAAAAGCTTCCAAGGATTTAAGAGCACTATACGAGTCTGTAATAAACTATGAACTTTTTGTGGCAGAGCTTTGAGATGTACAAAAGACAATAATATATTGCAGTTAGTTCAGATGTTAGGACTGAGAAAGCATGGTGCAGGCATCTGCCCTCTAATGTAATCTTCAAATACAAAAGCCATCCCGACATGATCATTTGACTTTGATCCATCTGTGTATATCGGATAATAACTGCTATATTTTGTGCCTGTGCTCAGCGAAGAAGTTGTCTGTAAACGATCTCGTTAGTGCTCGCCTTCACGTGATGTTTGAAAAACATCAAGAAGCTGAATTCCGTGAATTTTCCCAAGGTGGAATTTCAAAATTCTGTACTGCTTGGGGGTGCATATCAGAGAGGGAAAGTTCCTCAATGACAGGGCGAAACTCTTAAAGGGAAAGGTAGGAACACAGGATGGACGTGTTTCAAATAATGTGTTACACACATTATCAAGTAAGCACAGCTTATTGGGATGTTCAGGTTGGGATAGAATATTAAAATATTGCAAAAGGGACAATTGCTCACGCCTCAGATAAAGTGATGGTTCGTTACAGTCAACATATAGGCTCTGGACAGGAGAAGTCCTGAAAGCTCCTGAACAAATCCGCAGAGCCTTGATGGTGAACAGGATCCAGTTTTAACAAAACAGATGACCGAGCGGATCCATAAACAACTGAGCCATAGTCCAGTCTAGAGCGGATAAGCGCTCTGTAAATGCGAAGCATGGAGCAACGCTCTGCACCCCAGGAGGTGTTCGCCAACACTTTTAAAATATTTAGTGTTTTTAGACACTTCTTTCTCAGGTTTAAAACATGAGAAAGGAAAGTCAATTTTCGGTCGAACGTCACTCCTAAAAATTTTACTTCAGGCGCAACTGGAATAATTGTACCATTCAGATATAACTCAGGTTCAGGATGGAGACGACGCTTCCTACAAAAGTGCACGCACACAGTTTTCTGTTTCGAAAATGTAAATCCCTGTTTGTCTGACCATTCTTGGATCTTATTCAGAGCCATCTGCAGTTGCCTCTCTACATATCTCATGTCTGCCCCTCGACAGCTAATCTGCAGATCATCAACATATAGAGATCCCAAGATGGTGGGAGGAAGTTCTTTTAGTACAGAATTTATTTTTAAACTAAACAGGGTTACACTAAGCACACAGCCTTGAGGCACACCCTCTTCCTGTTCAAAAACATCCGAAAAAACAGAGCCAATTCTTACTTGAAACGTTCTAGTGTTCAAGAAATTCTGAATGAAAATTGGTAGGTTGCCGCGCAAGCCACTCTCATGAAGATCGCGAAGTATACCGTATCTCCATGCCTTATCATAAGCTTTTTCAATGTCGAAGAATATCGAGACAAGGTGGCTTCTTCTTACAAATGCTTTTCGAATGGAAGTCTCTAAGAGGAGCATGTTATCTATGGTTGTTCTCCCCTTTCGAAAACCACTTTGATAAGGCGATTTAATATTATTCTTTTCCAAGAAGTAGACTAGGCGGCTGTTTACCATCTTTTCAAACAGTTTGCAAACACAACTGGTAAGGGCAATTGGCCGATAGTTGGAGGGATTCCTTGGATCTTTCCCTGGCTTAGCAATAGGAATGACAACAGCTCTCCTCCATGCACTGGGAAATGTACGCTCCTTCCACACTCTATTGTAAAGTGTGAGAAGGGCACTCAGTGACTTACAGGACAGATGCTTTAGCATTTCATAATTCACGCCATCCAGACCCGGAGAAGACCTATGTGTCTGCAACAAAGCTCTCCTTAATTCAACAATAGTAAAGTCTCTATTGTACGGCTCAGATTTGGAAGAGTTGAATGCGATGGGATTTATTTCAGAGTGTTGCTTGATAGAGAAAATGCAGGTGAATAGTTTCTGGCTGGAAGAAACGGCAGCAAATGTCTCACCAATAGTATTCGCAATTTCTTCTATGGAGCTAATCACTCGGCCATCTTTTTCCAGAAAGGAAAGTGAGTGGTCTTTATATATTCCGCATGCTTTTCGAACTCTTTCCCAAACCCGCTTACTAGGCGTAGAGGATGTTATTGAGGACACATATGAAATCCAGGAATCCCTCTGGCTCTGCCTTCTTACTTTTCGTGCATTTGCTTTGGCTCTTTTAAAGCTATGAGGTTTCGCAGGGTAGTAGGATATCTACGAAAAATACCCCATGCTTTTTTCTGTTTTTTCAGTGCTTCATGACAGTCGCGATTCCACCATGGTTTCGAATATTTTAGTATTTTTCCTGATGTTCTAGGAATCGAAAGCATAGCTGCCTGAATAATAGTATTAGTAACAGCTTCAACAGCGTCATCGATATGCACATCTTCTACCATTTCCTCTGTGAGCTCTGCAAGGAAGAGAAGAGTTCCCAGTCTGCCCTGTCCAGTATAAAACGAGGGACTCTCGACATGGGGTTTGCTCCTCTTCGTGCAAGAGACACAAAAATAGGGATAATGATCGCTGTTGTACAGGTCATTTCCGACACTAAAAGTGCAAAATGGCAACAGAGATGGTGAACAGATGGCAGATCTGCAAGGTCGAGAGCATGGAATGTCCTTGAAGGCTCATGGAAGTAAGTATCTTGCCCATTATTCAGGAGACAAAGGCTATGATCTTCGATCATCTGCTCAATTTGTCTTGTCTTCTCGGCAATTGGTATCTTTACTACCCCAGAGCGGACTATGGCCGTTAAAATCTCCTATTATGATAAAAGGCTCAGGCAGCTGCTCTATAAGACCATTTAAATCTTGCTGATCAATGTGCTCATTTGGAGGCAAATACAAGAGAAACGACTGAAACAACAATCATGAAAATTTACCTTGTAGTAGCGACAACTTGGAGGGATGTCGTCAAAGGAAAGGAACTTTGAGGGATAATCCAGTGAGGTGAGG